GCATCGTGTTTCTTGCACCGCCTATCGAGTACCAGTGTGTTAACAATGTAACTAAAAAATGTACGGCACAGTGTACAAACTACGTTTATGACAGGTGAGTAACTGTAGATTTCGTTTGTTATTGGAGATAATGAAAAAAACATAATGCTAAGTACTTCCTTTCCTTCATGGACCATTTTTGTGACTGAAAAAGTAAGTAGATAGGGAGAAAATATGGGAACACATTTTTTAGCTAATACGTAATAAGTACTCTAGCTATAACATTTGCTGAAGTGCGAGTTGTCAAGTGAGTGTTTTATTCAATACATTGTCAAATATTCTGAAAATTTGGAAAGGGTGTATGGGTCGCCGTATAGTTATGAATCACCCTGTAGAGATAAAGAAATGTCTTGAGTAAGTTGGTTACAATTTTTTAAATAACTGTTTTAGATAGTATGCTCAGTAACAGAGTTATCGACCAAGCTCACACTATAAACTGACCCTCAGTGTGGTGTAAAAAACCAGTAGTTTTCGGGATTCGTCATTTGTGTGATTATTCAACAATCACCCGAAATTAGGCATTTGAGTCCAAAGATTAAAAAAATACCATGCAAGGAATGCGTGAAAATCCAATTTATTTTCCTAGTTGTGAATTTATCAACTGTTTACTGTGAATTTAATAGATTCACGAATTAATAAAGGTGGCGTTACTTTCTGGTACTATTCATCTAAGAAAAAAAACAAATTTGGAGTAATGTTAGCTGAAAGATCATCACAAGATATAGATTCTTCCGATTTTTTTAAATCCTATTAAAAAGTACACGATATAGTTTTTTTACATTTTCCCGTCGTTTCCGAGTTGACGTCGAGCTCTGGGACACCCTTGTATAGAATATGCGTAGCGGGTAATGGCTAGTAGATGCTACTACTGCTACAAAAAGTACCTCATTGATGATATTTTGACACAATGTGACTACCACGCTTAGGACAAAAAGCTAAGTAGTAGTTGTTATTGAAAATTGATTCTGTGGCGGGGGAACTTCGGGCTAAAAAAAAAAGAGTTAAAAATCGCTGAGACGTCCTGTTTAAACGTTTCAGACATAAGAGCTCATTTACAAAAAGTGTTTGGGGGGATTGAAAGTTGGAGGTGGATGCGGTAGGGTGTGAATGTTTGTAAATTGTTGCTTCTTTGATATTAATGAAATATCTTCTATTATTAAGAAGCTGCTAAAACGCATCTGATACGCATAAGGATAACACAAAAATATAATATTTATTTTATACAGTTCAATATACTCGTCTAGAGATTTGCGACACATCAGACTTAAATAAACATACCTAGTTAAATTTATATTCCGTCTTTTGAATAGACCTGACTGCCTTTAATTAGACATTAGCAAATTCTTAATGAGGGCGTGAGAAGTATAGAATCAGTCTATTTGACACTATTTGTGGGTACCCACGAAACATGACAGCATATTAACCTAAATAGAACGTTACCGAAGCCTTGGATATCAAGACACCTTGCTACCATATAAAATGAAATATTGATTATTTTGTATAGAGTTACAGTCAAACCAAAATGCAAGAAGGATTCGATGTCACGTTTATTAAAAGGAATCCAATAAAGACAAGGACGTATAACGATAGAGGTCATAGTTGTACACTGCCATCATTATCGAATAACATTCATTACAAAGGTGTGTTTATTGATCAGTATCTGTGGAACAGGATTACGTTCATTGAACCATTAAATTGAATGCAAACTATCCGTTTAGATGTGATTTACGGAAATAATATATTGAGCTGGATAGCTTTTTAGTTTTATTTACATTTGAGGCCGATTACACTGTCAGCGGAAGTACCTACCTTAGTTAATGTTGATCCTATTTCCGCAACTGAATGGAATGATTATACAGATTGTCTCCTAAATATAAAAAAGTTAAACGAAATAAGTATCGGAATTGTCATTAAGAAAGAAATTTAGTGGCTTTACAAATATTCTCTGCACATGTATATAATAAACAATCATTGAAAAAACAAACAAAATATAAAATTTCACAAACAATAATAATGCTTATATACAAATCAAAAGCATCAGTGGTGAATAAATCATATATGCTATTCAAAACAACTGCTTAAATATTCTGAAACACTATAGAAGGGATTGTTTAACATACTGTCCTTAACCTTTGCTTTAAATAGATGGTAGTTGGTTATACCCTTTATGGAATTTGGTAAGTGGTTGTATAGTCTTACTGCCATAACTGAGGGACCTTTGGCGGTCAATGATAATCTATGAGGAGGAACAACAATGTCTTGTGACTGGCGTAGTCCGTAGTATTTAATTTTTTTCTTTTCATAGAAAAAGCTTCAAGATTCAGGCATCAATACACATATAAAGAGTGAACTGTCATTACCCCCAATTGTTTGAACACCTCTTTACAAGAGTTACGCCGGCATTGTTCTCAATATCTTTTTCTGAATAACAAATACTTCGTTAACACGAGATCAGTTCCCCCAGCAAACAATGCAATAGCTAAGTGTTGAACGAACATAGGAAAGTAACAGAGCTTTAGAATATCAATGTCCACAAAATTTCTTAGCTGAAATATCACATTACAGTTTGATAGGTTATTCATGATATTATCTAACGGTGTATTCCAGTTGAAGTACTCATCAAATTGTACAAATAATTCAAATCCGGGTACTGGCATACACTTTCTCGTTACATTTAACTAAACGTATTGCCTTATTGAATTAAAGGCAACCATCGCTGTTTTAGAGGAATTCACAACTAAACAGTTACTGATGCAATAGTGCTTTATTGGTGGCGAAGACAGATGGATTGCTAATAGTAGCGGACTTATCTGGACACATTGTCACGATAGCGTTGATGAAAAGTATAAATAGTAAAGGACCTAATGTACTGCCCTGAGGAACACCCGTGTTCACCACTAAATCAGATGACTTTAAGTTACCAGACTCAGTTTTGAGTTTCACTGATGAGTTCGATTACAACATCAGTATGTTTTTAACCAATCCAGAAGACAGCCTCGGATATCATAGTTGGTACGCTTACTAACCTAATGTTAGAGTTAGACTCTATGTCGATAAAAAGCCAAGGGGTTATTTCCCGGACTATGAATACAATTTTCAAAAGAGTATGTCATGTTACGCTGGGTTGGGTGTATATCCAAAAGCAACAATTTCCAGTATATATTGAAGATTTGAGGATCGAATAAATGCTGGCTGTAATTCAACAAGAAAGGACGCGAGAGTTTTTGAACCAGCTATTTAGTCTGTGCGGGGCAAGATTGTATTCTTGTATACTATCGACAAGTTGTCATGATAAGCTCTTTTACATAATTTTTAATAAGAAATTATTGAATATTGTCGTTGTTATAATGAAACGTCCTATGAAACAATTTTTCCACATCGGAACTTTCTGAATATCTGTATAGTCAAATGTGAGCTCTGTGATCTGATGTGCAAGAGTTTCAAAATAAGAAAGGCTACTAATTCTGTAGAGATTTACTACGGGTCGTATCGTCAGTCGTTCCTACAATTAATTGTAGGATACCTTAATGGACTCCTTGATTTTCATAGTATTTTCTCTCCTTCAGAAAATCTGGGTTTTTCTAGATTTCTACGGTTCGGTGTCAGCGTCAGCGCTCTCCTATTGTGAAGTTATGTTTTCTAAGCATGAACAATTTGATGCAAATAGTTATTTGTGACTTAACCTCAAAATAGAACGCTGACAGGGAATAGTAGAAAACTATGAAAATCAAGGAGGCCATAAAGGCGTCCTACAACAATTGTAGAAACGACTGACTATACGGCCCTAATTGTCGACCAATATATCCGACTGTACCCAGAAGTGATACGGATTACATAAATCGGAAAGAGGAACTACTCACACCATATTTCGACCTACTTTCTCCAAATTATCTCACGACATCGTGTACCATGTATCATTCTGATGTAGTAAAAGTAAACTAGCTACCTTACCAATTAGGAAGCCATATATCCACTCAATACACTAGCTACCATGACATTGGATAATATGTGGTGTTGTTTTGATTATATTGCTTTTTAGTAATTAGCCAAGCATTTTGAAACTTCGTCCCCCAGTCAAACAATGTAACAATTTTCTATAACGTTTTTATTAAAAATTGGAACGACGCCTTTCCTGATACAACGAAACTCAAAGTAGACATTTATTATATACACATATGTTTGAATATACCCTATCAACATTAAGCTACTGACTTAAAAACGTTTGATGATATAAGAGGTATCTTTACGGTTCCATCACATTTGTAATCTTGGCTTTTGATTTAAGCCTTTTTTCGATTTCTAAAGGAGGCGCATATCATAAACTATCATCATCCTGAGTTATAAATAAATAATAGGTGCATAGAATTACCATGGTTGTGGGCGTATAAATATACTAACATCGAAAAAATGAGATACAGCTTCCCCGGCCTCGTATAATTCCAGCACCTAATGGTTTACCCCTAAAATTTTTTTCAAAAGCCATCAGGATCCTCTGAAACCTCAAAACATGAGGTTTAAGCGACTCTTACCTCTTTCATCTGTTGGCTCTATCTAGCTATCTATCTATCCGCTTTTATGTCCTTGACGTAATAGTAAGCTTGTATAAAAATCTCATATAAATAAGAGCGATACTTCCCAAGTTATAGAGGAGCCAATGACTACCGGACAGACCAACAGTCAGACCGACGGAAATGAGTGATATGGTTCCCTTCGATATCATATAACATCAAAAAAAAGTAATATTTCATTTCACAAAATGTTCGCGATTACAATACCTAGTGGCGTAGCAAGTGAAATGGCAAATTATGAAACTTCAAAAAACTAATAAAATTGTTTTTCTTCCTTTCAGATCCATATTTAGCTCAACAATTACCACAGAATGGAATCTAATATGCGAGAAACAGTACTTGGTGAACCTCGCACAAACGGTCACCATGCTGGGAATATTGTTTGGGAACATGTTGTTTGGCTACCTATCTGACAGGTAAGTTAGACAGTATTTAGGAAACTTTACCGAAAAGGTGTTTTGCGTCTACCACATAATGATACTCTCAACCAAATTCATCAAAGTAAATATTTCTGGCCGTCTGTAGATGAGCTTGGAAAAGGTAGCATGACATAACTAAAATTGTTTTTTTTCTATTCTTTTTATTTTTTTATTATCTAGAAGAAATAAAAATATGCTTTGGACTCGTCAGCAACATGAAATAGCTAGACATCGAAAAATTCAGACACACTGTACAGACAGTGTAAGTATGTTTTGAATTTTTCTAAGGAGGTTCAATCTCAAAACATTAAGTAGGTAACTTATTATACATTTTTGGACCCTAAGTACAGGGCGACTTCTTACCCTTTAAGTTTAAGGGTACATATAGATCGTGCCTAGTACAAACATTATGTACATCCATCTTCAACGTGAAGTTAAACGTACTCGTACTTGTCTCTTTATACGTATATTACTTGAATGAATAATTTTAATAGCCTATTACTTAAAAATATGTATTTATGGTTATAAAACATTTTATGTTTCATTAATTACAGTCATTCAGTGCTTTCAGCAAACATTACAATTAGTCTCAGTTGTATAAATCATTAGCCTGAAAGCTTTTTAAGCGTTTAATAACTTCGCAGTGCCTTTATATATGATTCCGCGAATTACATATTGGGAATATCCGGTAGACGTCAGATTTAATTTACTATCTAAAGAAATATTTGCTCAAGGTGTTGTTGGAAATGTATATGAGGTGCCCGAAGATTTGAGATCCCAGCAAAGCGCGTCCCTTAACACGAGTGGACATATCTGACCCTGAAATAGGGGCTATGTCATTTCAAAAGAAGAAAGTTCTCCCAAAAAGCCTCCTCATGTGATGCTGTAATTGAAGTATGCTGGTTTCGTCTATATAGTGCTGAATATTTTTGGATATCCATTCAATTAAGGATCATATTTATAAACGTTACTTGAGGTTTGACTGCAGTTTGAGGTATGATCTTTCCTTGGATCTTAAACGCTTTCTTGAGGAACGGTATAAAGAAGAAAAACATTTGCTTTTCACAAAAGGCTGTACAACTGTCATCAGGAGACGTCTTTGATGTCAGAAAGACTTTTATTTGGTGGCCGCATTTTTTTAGCGATTTGATAATAAAAACCCCGTAAATAAGTAGAGGACCCCCAAAAAATGATTCCATATTTTGTCCTAGAAAAAACTTGTGGATAATAAAATGACAAAAGCTCATTCCTGTTACATAAACATTTTAGTCTTTATAAAGCAAAGCATGCCGAAGACACAAAGTTTTATATGCATTTACCAATTCAGATGATCGCTGATTCAAAGTCTAAGGAATTTTGTATCATCAACCTGCTCACTAGAATTTTGAGTAAGTAAGCATCGTTGCTTCCTCTGTTCAGAAAATTCATGAATACAGACTTTTGTGGATTTATAATAAGCTTAGAAGAGAACCAGTCAATAAAATTACCAATTACCTGCCGCATTTCCGAGATACATTGTTCGATTGAAGACTGATAACACAAATATGAATTATCGTCAGCATATATTGTGAGGTTTATTTTCTTGAGGCATAACCTGAGGTAGATCGTTAATATATACAGGGTGTCCTGAAAGTTGGGAAGTTCCTTTTAAGAAACAACTAAGTTTGGAGTAATAGCTTTACGGTAAAAGAGCACCGAAAGCGTAAAAAAGAAATTGAGGAAAATGACTCACTATCCATTTGATCAGTAATTTCAAGTAAGTGTTTGTAAATAGTGTTCAATTCAAATCATGAGCTTGTTTACCTCTTTCTATATTTGCAACGTTTGGGGCCGTCTAGATCTTCTACTGTGTTCAAGCAGAAGTCTTTTGTACGATATAAACAAATATATGGAAGCTCTGATGGAAAGAAACATCGAGGATGATGGCGCCGTTATGAGTACACTCGCGAAGTATTAACAGGGTCTTGAAGATACTCATATCAAATCGATAACTACGTTTTTGCTCTAGGAATGTGCCAATGTCGGTTTTTCCAATCCGACTTGTTTATAAACTTGGGTAACCTAGACACCGCGTGGCGCCTGTTTTGGATACTGATTCACATAGTACCACAAAATGTCGTATCTTATCATGGAGGAGGAGGAGGAAAGTGAGGCAGGTTACGACTGGCCCATTTAGTTTTCTGAACTCAATATCTCGATTATTTTAAGACTTTGGTATATGTGTTACTAAAAAACTTGCTCTGTAGACAAAATACCCAACTTTGAGGACATCTTATATAAGAAAAATTAGAGGACCCAAAATTGACCCTTGAGTAACATCAATACTGATTTCTACTACATATAATCTCTGCAGATTTGGCCGAAGAAATCCTTTGGTTCTGGCTGTAGTACTGCAAGCTGGGTCTGGAATGGCAGCTGCTTTTTCACCATGGTTCTTTGGATTCTTGGTGATGAGATTCTTATCAGCTCTTGCTACTGGTGGCACCATGATCACCAGTTTCGTTCTGGTCATGGAAATTGTAGGTAAGCGAATAAGTCTATCACTTTGTTGTGACGGACGAAGCTTTTGTCTTAGAAAGGGAACAGCTGAAAGATACTGTGAAGGCGTCTGATCTGTAAGTTATTTATTCATCACAAAGCAGTAGGTAACCCCATGTTTCAAGTTTGTGAATTGGATCTGAATGGTACTGACTTTCGGTTTTGATATCTTAACTATGTTGGGGTATTGCTAGGGTTCCAAACATGGGTATCTACGAGTAGATCCAAACCGTTAATTCCAGCTACAAGCCCAAGAACAATGTTATATTCACCTGTTCTCTTCCTTTACGATTAAATTTTATGTATCATTTTTTAAAGATAGATAGTAACCTCACCCATTTTAAACCTATTTTTTACAATAGAAGATTAATTAACTGCCCCCATTTTGAATTCAATATAGCGCATGCTACAAAATGGCGATTCATCATTTTCAGAGTAGCCCCTATGAGATGAGTATCAAATGGCCTTTTGATGAGAAAAACACAATAAGCAAAGTAACTCAATATGGACGCCACCAAAAAATGGCGATTTAAATTTTTCATAGTCACTCTTACGATATGGGTATCAAATAAACGGGGTTGATGAGAGAAACACAATAAGCAAGGTGACACCACCCTGAATCCAATATGGCGGCCGTCGAAAAATAGCGATATGGATATCAAATGAAAGGGTTGATGAGGCCAACATAATAAGCAAAGTTGCGTGATTCTAAATGTTTATTGTGTGATGGCTTACAAGATACATGGAAAGAAACTTTACTTTGCCTTTTAAAAACAGGAAAATAAGTCTTTGGCGATTATCCTCGTGAGATATGTACATGTTTATTCTGGACAACTTTTGTCCAATATTATTTGAATGCATCGCTACAAAAAAGGGAAAGTAGACGCACGTATTTTTTACGCTATATAATTTGTTATGTAGTTTCTTTGGAAAATTACGCCTATGCCATTTCCAGGCTCTTTCAGGGGTACACAACATTTCTTGCACTAATTTTTGAAATTCGCCAATTTTAGAAATCTAAAAAGGCCTATAAAAGTTGTATTAGCGGTTGAAGGCTTAAATATTTTCTTACGTGATGCTGACGATTTACAGTTTCAATATCCGCATTCTGATAGATAGTAGGACATAAACTCCCCCGCGAACTCAGGTTCTATGTAAGCCACTGTAAAGGTACGCTTTAAGTTGGTTTGTAAATCAAGTTACTTAAAATAGGATGAAAAGGTGACAGATAAGATGTTATTCTGCACATAATATAACCGCGCCCTATAAATGAATGGGTCATTGAAAAAACCTCATAAGTCACAAAATTTGGAATTCTGAATAACCTTCACAGTTTATCAATAATAATGATGGTAGAAGCCCGTAAAACTGTTCTTGTCTTACGTTCTTTTAACAATAAATAGTGTCAGTGGTATATAACTTATTCAAAATAATCATTAATAATTTTTCGTTGCTTATGATTAAAAATCATACTCAAATATTGACTTATTGACACGTCACATGATTTAATTTTGTACGTTTTCTGCTTTTCATCCGAATATTGAGTCGACCATCATGAAAATGTACATAATATACATTAGTAGACTTATTCATTCAAACTTCTTCAATTAAATCGGCAATCCATTGTTGAAGACCATCAGAGAGAAAAATTGATTTTACAAGATAGGTGGGCGTATAATTCAACTGCCATCTCTATATGGTCAGCGTGATTTTGGTATGAGAAAATTCTCAAAAAAGCGATTTCGAGATAACTGTATTTACCCCTAACCTTACTTATATAACTTATACACTATCTGTAAATGTAAAATTGGTATTTTGGTGCATATGAAAGTAAAAGACAAAGTTTCTGGTACTGCTTTTGAAATGACCCATTCAAGTATCCGCCGACTTCTGCTTTTTTATGCAATGAACGTCAATTACGCGGTCTTACTTGAAGAAAAAAGGGTGTATTGACTCACGAAGTGTATACTCATATGCATCTACGTCTACTAAAGCGTTTTATTTTATTAAAAAAAGCATTTTGGATAAAAATGCACTTAGTCGGTTTTGAAATTACCGATTCAAATCTGTAAAAGGGCTGTACGTCCCAATCTATTGTCATTCCCACCCCAAATAGGGTTGACCATGCTTCATACTCGTTTGTTACAAGCCTATCATTCATTTTGACGGAAGATTATGAAATTAAGTTAATCATGTGCTTGTATGTTTTCAAGTGGTATACACTGCCTTGTTTGTTGAACATTTACAGATAACAAATAATTATATTACGTTAGAATGATGAAAACATTTGATGCAAGAGCAATAAAGCAAAACAAGATACATAATGTCATGATAATAAAAAATAGCCCGTATTTAAAAGATTTATTTCAATATAGCCACTAAAAGTGCTTACATCAAAAATTACAGGATGCGTCTTTTTGATCCACCATGTCGAGCAGGTTGACTCTGCAGTGATGTTTGAGAGTGAAAGAAGTTTATTTTATTCTCATGCTCAAGATCAAATCAATATTTTTCAGGAACTGAATGGAGAACAGTTTTGGGTATACTTTACCAGATACCATTCAACTTGGGACATCTTCTATTACCAGTTATAGGTAAGAGATATTAGTACGTAGGGACCCAAACATACATTTTTGAAAGGAAATATCTAAATTTCATTGAGGATTTGGGCAAGTCCTTACAACCGAAGCAATTTGATATAACATATCATATTATGGTCTTATTTTCAAATTGTTGAGATATTGGACGATCTATCGGAAGTGAACTTTTCGTTAAAACATTTTATGATCCCATATTTCATCCCAACCTACTTCCTCTTTCAGTTTTTTTGGATATTTGATACAGGGTAGTCAAGAAGCCAAAATTAACTATTTCCCGAAATTTTCAAATGGAACACCTTAAATATTTTCACACTTTTTTCCTTTTCATAAGTTGTTTTCTGATAAAAGGCTTATGGGGTTTGTATGACTGATTTTTGAGTTGCTAGAAACTTTTTGACTTTAAGACTTTTTTGCACAACGCCAGGTAGATCTAATTTATAATGAAAATACGCCAATTCTAACGATCTGCGAAAATTCGGCATCCTAACTTTTCTTAACGAATATACTCTACCTGTTATAGCTGCAGACGTGCGAGTTATCAAAGTTCTGTATATTATTCGACAGATTGTCAAATAGCTCAACAATTTGGAAATTGAACCCTACAGTATATATCAAATTGCTTCGTTTGGAAAGCTGTATCCAAATTTGCAATGAAATTCAATGATTTCCATTAAAAAATAATCATGTTCCGGTCACTGCATAATTATGAATCACCCTGTAGAGATAAAAATACTTAAAAAATAAGCAGTATACTACAGTTTTTGTAATTAACTTTTTCAAATGCTATGCGCGATAAAAGAGTTATTGACCGTACCCCCACTAAAAATTCACCCTATATATAAATGTGAATGTCTCGTTTGTCAGCCTCAATCAGTTCGAATAGATTAGAAGAATCCAATGCTATATGTTTACATTGCAATGTTTGCCATCAAAATTTTAATGCATGCTTTTGACTCATCTGTCTATCAATACCTGCCAAAGTGACAGCGGTGTATCAATATAATAATACCTACTATTGGAAACATCTATCTTCATTAAGCACAATTATCTGCAAACACTCGCACTTTTAAAACATAACACTGAATATACGAATTTAATGACAGAACAGTCAAAAATGACTTATGTCAAGTGCAGTTTGGTTTTCACTACCGACTGTGAGAATTAAGAGACAAACAAATCTTCGACCGCTCCGTCTACTTAGTCTGAATTCGTTGCCCAGCATTCGTTATCTTTGTTGAACTAAGAACTCTCCTATGACTTTTCTCAGGGTATTATCTTCGAGATTGGCGCCATTTCCAAATAGCTATCTCAGCGCCCTCTATATTTCTCGTGGTCTACTATTGGATCCTTCCCGAGTCGCCAAGATGGGAGTTGGCTGTGGGACGAAAAGAAAATGCAATCAACACGTTGCAAAAAGCTGCAAAATGCAACAAAATGCCCACGGATAAGATCGCAACAGACGTCGATTTCTACCTGCAAACTAAAGATATCAATAAGGTCTGTAAACACTACGTTTTTATTTTATATTATCTAAATAATTCTCGTAATAAGTGAAAATGGCAACACTATTCTCGATGTTGCTTGCGACTTGTTGTAGTCGAGGGTTGGGGTGTGTGTCTTGGGAGGGCAGCATCGAACACATTGCTGCCAGTTTCAGTGTCTGTGTCTCGCGTCGTTATTTTTCCAGTATCCTTTCTCAATTTGTTAACTTCGGTCGTTGACAATGCAATTAAAATACGACCTAACAGCAAAAACGGATCTTTAACATGTACCACCTCAATATTTACTGAGATGTAGATTTCTAACACCATCTGGAATATTTTGTCATTACAAGGAACGGACCCATGAGAAGGCCATTGTGGATATTTGAATGATGACTTATACCTTACAAAATAGTCATTTGAAATGAAAAAGAATCACGCAGCTTGTTTTATTCAATTTCCAAGTCGAGAGTCCCTAGTGAAAACCCTTCACTTCAGTCTTTAGCGTTTTCTTCTGGCAATAAGTAAATTGTTTTTTTTTTTATATCGAAACAGCCGCGCAGGCAGAAGCCTAAATGCCGGAACACCGCGGCTGCTATGATGATCCCAAAGAAATTTTGTTAATACGATTTTTGAACTGCCTAAGGTTAGTAGAACTGGGAAAAGCTTCCTCCCGTAGATTGTTCCACAATCTAGACACCCTCGGGACAAAGGAGCGGTCGTATCGGCCAGTTCTGGAGGTACGAAGTTTGACACGGTTAGGATGGGACGCCGAACTCAGGCGGGTCTGTCTGGCAGGCACATTGCGCGGCGGCATCATGGAAGAGAGCTCTGAGGAGCAAAGCCCGTTGGTGTAGCGATAGAAGAGAGCTAGATCGCCGACGGCCCGCCGGTGCGAAAGAGTCCCGAGAATGTCTGTTAGAGAAGAGTCATCGATCAGTCGGACCGCCCTCCTCTGGACAGCATCGAGCATGGGCAATGTAGTCGGGGCGGTAGCACCCCAAATGTGTGAGCAATACTCGAGGCTAGGCCTTATCTGGGCCTTGTATAGAGTGAGAAGGTCATGCGGAGAAAAGTACTTCTTAGCCCTAAACAAATAGCCTAGCTTTTTCCCAGCAGCTGCAGCTATTGAAGAGATGTGTTCGTGCCAGATCAGGTCCTCGGTGATCTGGACTCCGACCAGCCGAAATGAATGGCTCTTTGGTAGAACTCGACTGTCCATCGAAACTGTATGAGCGCTAGGACGCTTTTTGTTCGTCAAAGTACAGTACTGGGTTTTGGAAGCATTGAACTGTACAAGATTGTTGCGTCCCCAAGCAGTGATAGCCTCCAGGTCTCTTGTCAGAGAAGAAGTCGTCGCTAGTCTTCTTTTTTCCAGCTCAGCGGCAGATATCGGCTTGTCACTTTGAATTCCTGCATGTAGAGTGCTGTCATCAGCGAAGCTGTGGATTGGGTTGATCGTGCAGGAAAGGAGGTCGTTGATATGTAAGAGAAACAGTGTTGGAGCCAAGACCGATCCCTGGGGAACACCCGCGTTGACGTTGTGGGATGAAGAGGAGAATCCGTCAATTACGGCGGATATCTTGCGGTCAGAGATAAAGTCAGCCACCCATCTACAAAGCTTTTCTGGGAGGCCATAGGATGGAAGTTTGCTTAAGAGGGCAGCGTGCCACAGCTGATCGAACGCTTTCGTGATGTCAAGAGCAACGACATGAGCCTCACCATGAGACTGGATGACTTTACTCCACAATTGCGTGACGTAAGCTAGAAGGTCCCCTGTGGATCGTTGGTTCCGGAAACCGTACTGCCTGTCGCTAATCAAGCTGTGACGTTCGAGGTAGTCTAGAAGCTCGCGATTTATGCACCTCTCCATCACTTTACCTATAACAGAAAGCAGAGCTATAGGCCTGTAGTTGTAAGGGTCGGTTTTAGATCCTTTTTTTGGGATGGGCTGTACATGAGCAAATTTCCAGTTTTCTGGGAAGGTGCCGGATTCATAAGATATCTGGAAGAGACGCGAAAGAACTGGAGCAAGCTCCGCTGCACATCTCTTCAGTACAATGGCAGGAATCAAGTCCGGACCAGAAGCTTTGTTGATGTCGAGCGACAAGAGCACTCGTCTTACGGTCTTATGCCTGAATGTTACCTCCCGCATAGTGTGGGGAACCCTTTGGATTGACGGCACTTGGGCGTTGGTGGGGACGTCCATGGTGGAGTTGGCAGCAAAGATCTTGGCTAGCACTTCCGCCTTGGCCTTTGAGTCGAATACAATAGTTCCATCCTAACACGTAAGTGGTGGAAGGCTACTGTTCTTTTCAATCTGCTTGGCCAGCGCCCAGAAAGACCGACTGCCATTGCGCTGCGACATTACCCTGTGCCTAACTTTTATATCATGCTGGTTTTTGGCATTGCGAACCGCTTCGTTATATTTGTTTCTGGACTCGACGTCGGCTTGTCTGTTCTCTGCAGTGGGGTTTTGTAAGTAGGTTCTGTGGGCCTTGATCTTCTGCTGGCGAGCAGTGTCACACGATTTGTTAAACCAGCTGTTGGGCCCTGGTTTAGGAACTTTCACTGTGTGAGGGATGTATTCCTCCATTCCGACGTGGATAATTTCGGTTATTGAAGAACAGACAGTCGACGCATCCAGTCAGTGAAACAGACATCTCTCCAAGGAAAGCTAGAGAAGAAGTCTCTGAGCCCCTCCCAGTCGGCATGTCCGTAATGCCAAGTTTTGCGGCCTGTGCGAGTTTCTGCTGCCACAGCGGCTTCTGACCGAAACCTAACCTCCACAACACCGTGATCTGAGTTACCCAGGGGGGACAGGACAGCAGTGCTGTAAGGGGCAGGATGCGTGGTCAAAAAGAGATCCAGCAGGCTACTGGCGTGTGACGAGACGCGGGGGAAAAAGGTAGGGCTCGTCACCAACTGGGTCAGCCCTTGAGTAAGAGCGAACGCTTCGACTGCACGACCTGCTGCATCGGTCTTATTTGAGCCCAACCAAAGCTCATTATGGGCATTGAAATCACCGAGAGGAACTACCTCTGAAGCGGGGTGATTGATGTTCAGGAAGTCGATCTGGACGGCGAGGTATTCGAGTAGGTCATCCCAGTTATGATTCGAGGGAGAGCGATAAAGGCAGCAAGTAAATTTGGGTGATGTTTTGGAGTTGAGGCGAAGCCACAGAATGTCCTTCCGGTCTGATTCCAAAGAAAGATCCCTGGAGCAGGAAAGACTGCTGCGGACAAAAGCCACAACTCCCCCGTTCTTTCTCAGATTGGAGTGCACCTCGTAGTTTGGGAAGTTGAGATGGTTAATCGGTGTAGTCTCTGAGATTTTTGTCTCCGCCAAGAAAAGCACGGCGGGACGATTCGATTGCAGGTAGTGATGAACACTGTCAATGTTGCTGTTGATCCCGCAGATGTTCGAAAAACAAATTTTATCTTCGATGTTGTTCCCTCGAGCCCACCCTCCACCCGGACATTCCGAGAGTGGAGTGAGTTTACGTCCGGAGTTTTTAGTGCTCGAGGGATCCATCATCATTAATTTCTTTGTTTTGGTAGATAACCCACTGCATAGCTTGGGTGTGGAAACATGCGGACATTTATAAGACACCCTGGGAAAAGCTAGCGGGTGGTACTGCCTCGGTCGACTGGTCCTTGTCTACCACCTTCTTTTTACGTGTTAGTGATGTTAAATAGACCTAAAGTGGCCCGTTGGCGGACTTGTACCGCCACCCGGCAATCGGTACTGAGGTATTCCTTAACGCGTGCACAATCACTTGGACCGGAAGAAGTTGTATACTGGATACAACAACTTCCGGAACAAGCATTTGCCACGGCCCTCGCTCAGTAGGGGGGGGATGTTTATCTATATACAGGGTTGGAAAAGGTTGGGAAATCTTGAAACTGGAGATACTACAGACCCAAATATGTGAATTGACCTAAACATATCTTAGTCCAAAAGTTAATAGTTTGCGAGATACAAGGTGACAATTTTCTTTTCTATTTTTCCTTTTTGCTTGAGAAGTATTTCAGATTTTGGCATAAAACTCGGTATAGGGAGGTTTTCTAGTATGAGAAACAAGAACCCGCTATTTTTTATGGCCAAACTTCTAGAGGGCGCTACCTGCAGCACATATCGGCTCATACTTGTCTCACTCTTTTGTGCTACCCTGTATACAATAACTGACCGAGAAATTTTATTTTCCCGTATTTCCACAACAAAAAAGGTTTACTTGTTAGAAGTGTCTAAAGCTGATAGTTTTCGATATATTTGTTTTTAAAAGTTCCAATGCATTATTCGTATCATGATGATAAAACATTTTTATAACATAATAATCAAGTTGCTTTGGATAATATCTGAGTAGCGTTGCTATGGTTTCTAATGTTATTCATAATATTTTTTTAAACTTCATGAATAATTTTAATTAGACAATAAGTTGTTAAACATCATAGAGTATACGTTTGATGAATATTCTGATATGCATTTAATGTACGGATTGGAAAGATGTAAAGCCTCAAAAACAAATATGTATCTCGAAAACTATTAGCTTTAGACAATTCGAATAAGTAAACTTTTTTTATGGTGGAGATATGAGAAAATAAGACTTTTTGGTTAGTTGTTATATACAGGGTAGCACAAAAAAGTTATGATAAGTTATTTACCGAAATAGTGATGTCCGTGGCGCCCTTTAGAAGTTTGGTCATAAAAAATAACGGATGCTTGTGTCTGATACTAGAAACTCTGCCTATACCGAGCTTTAAATTTGACACCATGTATCTCGCAAGGTATCAACTTTTGCACTAAGGCATGTTTAGGTCAATTCATATATTTTAGTCTGAAGTATCTCTAGTTTCGAGATTTCCCAACCTTTCGTAGACATCTATATGGATGAAAATGGGTTTTTTTCACAGGTAGAGCAAAGCAAAGGCAATATTTTGGATCTCGTGAGAACCCCGATCATCAGAATGTATACCATCGCGATCTGCTTCAACTGGCTTGTCTGCGGACTTTGCTTCTTCGGAGTGTCACAGTTCATTGGTCAGCTGGGAGGAAACATCTTCATCAACGTTGCTTTGTCAGCGGTGATACAAGTACCAAGTACGATCTTCGCGTGTTGGGCAACGAAAGCATGGGGAAGAAAGAAGACGTTGATTGTTGCTAATATTTTGGCAGGAGTTTCGATTTTACTTATAGGTAAGTTGCTTGTACATCCTTGAAGCACATATCTATAGGAAGAGATAATAATAATATTTATTCCAGTAGACCACCAGAGTACAGAAAACATCGCAAGTACAAATTGAAAGCATATACAGACAAATTAAAATAGGTATCACGTATGCCTTATATCATAACATGCTTTTTGTTCAAAATACTTACACTGTTCTGTACAGTTTTGAACTTTACTATAACTATTATGCTATTGAAGGTTGCATCTAACTTATTCTATAACTTAGTTGTCATTTTATCTTTTGGAAACTTTTCAAAAAGTAACATATTGTGAGTAGGCAAAACTACGGTTTCTCTGTTTACAGCTTCATAGCTGCCTAGCAGCATTTATAAAAAACTCGTTTAAATTTTGTCTTGCACACATTATCAGTTGTCATCTATATTGATGGTAAAGTGAATAATTTGTCCTGTTTAAACCAAGACCTGTATGTACGACTTTCTAGATGATCAATCAAACATGTTCCCAATTGCTCTTTTTTTCAATATAAACACTCTTGATAAAAACCGAGGTGAAATCCAAAATAAGATGCCACACTTTAGTTTTGAATAAACTTCAGCATAATAGTAGAATAGTCTATAAACAAATCTTTGACGAGTGAGGACGAAACAAGTTGGAGACAACTTATTGCACTTTTGATTAATATGTTCTTCAAATGAAATTTATGTCAAAATTTTAACATGTAGATCTTCCGAAAAAAAAACGCGTTTGTCACAACTTACCCAGTGAACATAGTGACGTCACAATATCGGCATTCTTGGGCCACTACTGGCGACCAACAAAAATAACGTAGAAATGACGTCATCATGACGGTCACGCCCAATTGACGTCAATGGTGTCAATAAATTTTTTAGTCAATGACGTTTCTTACCAAAAGTGACCCAGTAATGACATGCGACATGATAAGTCGCAGGTTCCTGAATTTGCAACACCCTCCACAGACTTTAGCAGCTCTTACTCAGGAAGTTGCAGTAGCCTGGAATGGGATACCCCAACAGGATATCGACCACTTTATTAGCACGATGCCCAGTCGTCTCAATGAGCGTATAAGAAATCGTATATCCTCAACATAATATTGAACTAGCTTCTACAGTCAGTTGACGAATCAAGAGCTGAAAATTCAGTTATTCTACTAGTAAGGACAATGAACATATATGTCAACCTTTTGACCTCCACTGGAACTGAAATAATAAAAGTACAAAATTTGATTAGACCACATCTAAATACAATAATCTGTCTTTTTTGTTAACAGGTTTTGTTCCATCTGACCCAGCCTGGATAAAGTCGACCCTGTCCACAATAGGAATGTTCGGTCTCGCACTGGCTTTTCCAACAGTCTACATATACTCAGGAGAGCTGTTCCCAACCGTTTTGAGGAACATAGGTGTAGGAACGTCATCCATGTGCGCTAGAATAGGTTCAATGGTGGCACCATTTGTTGCCTCGTTGGCAACTGTGCAGTTCTGGATTCCTCCGGTACGATAATTTTCTTTTTCACAAGGGTACGAATTTGAACAAAATTGCTTGAAGCTTTTCAAAATGACCGCATATTTCCAGTGCTTTAAAATCTGTGTAGAAATAGAAGAATCACTTATAAAGCACGATTTGTAGCGAAAAATGCGATAGAGGGCTGACTCAAAAATAGGGTCCCTAACGCTGTGTCTTTCCCGCGGGTGATGCAAAAGTAGATTTCACGTCTAAAAAATGCTTAGAAAAAAATGGTGACTACGGAAAAAATAGCTTATAGATCAACGTTTCCAATAGTATATTCGTTTTTACAAATAAAAAATTCCTTGTGTTCGAAAAAAAATGTGGAAACCTTATTTTTTGGAACAACCCTCGTATATCATAAAAAGCTATGTCACTCATTTCTGACTGCCTGTCCATGAGAAGCACTGCTCGGATTTTGATGTAGTTTTCACACAAGGTTACTACTATATTAAGGACGAAATAGCTTTGTATTTTTTGAAAGTCCAGTGGTGGCGGAGCTGGGGGCAAAAAAACGACAAAAATAAGGGTCACTGAAACTTTCGTGGTGTTTTTAGTACTTTTTGCATTTGTACTAGGGATAAAAGAGACCTCGAAAAGTTCCAATGGTTACCGTCAGAAAAAAATTGAGTCAAGTAGATTGACACAGCTTTTCGACGCTAATCTATACCTATCAAAATTGTTACGTATACGAAAATTCGGAGTATGGCTAGTAATACGTGAGAAGAAAATGCGAGAAATACTTGATTTCATTTTTTTTTACTTTTTAAAATTATCTCTAGGACCTAAGTGAGCATTTCTTGTCCGCTGTCACTGGATCGATTTTCAATACCCACAACAAACCTTTTCGACAATTTCTTTAAAATAGCACCGATATTCTAAAGTGACAGAAAGCCTAATGATAATAGGATAAATGGTGGATAAACAGACTGCCACAAATGAGTGACGTGGTTTTATTTATTCACCAAATTTACGGGTGACCCCATTTTTACAAAATAAAACTACAAAATGGGAATAACACTTACAACATACAAGGTCACACGACATAATTATAAAAATCACAATTTAAAAGATAATTTTTAAAGCCTGAGAGTGTACAGGTAAAGATATCAATATCAGACTGAGCCCAATTGATAACGCGAAGTGGTCTATCGAGTGGTGAGTGCTGACCATAATTTATGGGATGGATATAATATCCGATAAACACAATAGTCGCATCCGATTTACCCATGATCTCAAATAAGCTTACCTTGCTTCAGTTTACTCAGTTTATTGCACGTTTCTTCTACCAAATCTCACATTTAAATGTAATGAGATTTCCTTCATAACTGAGCTAGAAATGAGATTTGACAGCCTCATGTCTGTTTGACTGTTTACTTGCAAAACGAAGGCAACAGTTATCCCGATTGTAAAATTTATTATGTGGAAAGAAAATAAGGGATATGACAATGACGTTTAAGGCTTATGAAGCCTAGAGCATTTTCTGTACCAGTCGATAATGAAATATATTTTGATTCGGCAGGTTATTTTTGGAACAGTACCACTTATAGGGGCTATCCTGTGTTTCAAGCTGCCGGAAACTTTGGACTGCAAGCTGCCTGACACGATTGAGGAGGCTGAGCAGTATGAAAGTAACAATAACAAGAATAAAGACAATGATATTGAAATGAAATAAGCTATAACTGACTGTAACTCTTTTTAGTTTCATTTTATTCCTTAAAGGAACCGTTTTTACAGTATACATATCATGTACATTTGCATTTTATAATAAAACAATGTTTGCTATAATACATGTTTCCATACTCAAACCACAGCTTATACATGGTGTTCATTTTGAAAAATTATCACCACGGATTTATCGAAAACCCCGAAAAAACGCCGAGACACGACAAAAGATTTGTCAAGGGGGACAACTTTTTAACAAAACGCTACTTCATCCCCTTTCACCCTGGGCCCCCCAGGGTCATTCCTTTAAAAAATTTAAATGACAAGGGGTATCGAGTAGTAGCTTGTTCGAAAGGTCTCTCGAAGTCTGTCATCCTGACGTTTGATTTTTTCAGTCGATTCGTTTTCGAGAAAGTTAGAAAAATATTTATTTATCTTAATTTGCTCAGATAGAAAACAAACACACACGAAAATATCACCTTGATCAAAAAGTTCCCGGAATTTATTAAAAAAATAGACAATGAAAGTTTATTGTTCAAAATCGATACTGTCCCCTTCAAAGTAGTCCCCATCGACTTCAATGCACTTATGCCAACGTTTGATCTAGTCCTCGAAACATATCACTTTTTATTTGAATAAGTGTTCAAAATGTTGCCCGTTATTGGCCAAACAATGTTATAGGCGATGTTCAAATTCCTGATGGACATTTTCAAAGACACGTTGAGGGATATCATCGCAGCTTTCGATTATGCCAATTCCCAATGAACAATTTAATTGTATTTGTTGCCCAACTGGCCGTGGCAACGACCACTGCTAGCATAATATATATATATATATATATATATATATATATATATATATATAACAGTATATATATACCGGGTGTAAACGGTATGATAGTCATTATTTAAATGGGTGATAGAGGGGGTTAAAAGACACAAAAAACGGACTTACCACTAACTGTCTCAGCGCTTCACCTGGTGTGTGAAAGTTTATTGAACGTATTAAATAAATCCACTTATAAATAGGGAACACAATTTTGATACATACATTGTTTTTCTTTTTAAAACCCATACTGTACTTTTTTGTATTTAAAGAAGGTGTTCAAAATGTCGTCCTCCACTTTCCACACAAGCTTCATTACGACCTTCACGAATGGTACTGTGTTATATGAGGATTTTCTTGGGCTCACTTGTGAGTATTCTGGAAATTTAATATCCCGTCTCTCGTAAGAGTACATTCGTCCGTCGCTAGAATGTTTTTAAAAAAGTCCGAATTTTCAATGTTTTTGTGCAAAAACCACCGACAGAATGTTAGTCTGCGAGGATAGTCTTCTGGTAACAAGGCCTGCACTCGTTGTACATGGTAGGGATAAAGCAAATTTTCCCGTAGGATTCTATGGACTATGGTATGCGATAGTCCTACGCGGCGGCCGAATTCCCGAGTGCTAATATCTGCATTGATTTCCACGATATTTAAAATTTGTTCCTCCTGCTCTACAGTAACCTGTCTTTCACGAGTGCGAATATTAGTGCGCTTAATACTTCCTGTATCTCGAAGTCTTTGGTACACTTGCACTAATGTCCTTCTATCTAGGTGTACCCGTTGGCGAAATCTGTCGCGATAAATTTGAGATGCAAGATTTGAACTCTGACGAGCTTCATCGTAAACTAACAAAAATCAAATCCAAGCGAATAACCAAAATTTCTGTGTTATGTGCCGCGGTTATAATATGGTTCAAGATGACACACGGGTTGATGACGTCAGTTACACGAATCGCTTGAACGCGTTGGTTTTAACCGCGGTTTTGTTGCAAGTTGTTTATTTTAGAAAAGCGCGTATATAATCTCTGATTATTTTTATTATCACTTAATAATCGGTGCGTTTTCGTCTACAACTGTAAAAGTTTAAATAAGAAACCTTTCATAATATTCATGGGAGAAATGTTTTCTTCAGATTTTTTTTTAATGATGGAACCATGGCTTTGTAGCTATGATAACTTTCAATTCTCTAATTTTTTCCGCATGTCAAAGAAATCATTTATTGATTCAGCAGAAATGATGAATAAAGAAATTAGCAAAACCGTATACAGGTGATGGATATCATCTAGTGAGTTTATATGGCCATATTTTAATATTCTTGTGGTATATGGCTACACAGGATAATTTGTTAAGCATAGGAACTGCATTTAAAGTGTCCCCAACAACCGAAATGAGTATAACTAATAAGGTGCTCCACTTTATGGTAAAACTGAAGTCAGCCTGTATCAATTTTCTCAAAAATGAAGCTGAAGTACAATAACAATATCCAATACCCGGCAAAATTCTAACTTGTCACATTTCAAATAATAACCAGAAATATAAAACTACTCTTGAGTTGGGTAAATGCCACAATTTTGCGGTGATAACTATGACATATAACAGCTGATTCGTGACGTCACGGATCTTATAACCAAACTGATAACTACACTCGCTTGAACGGATCGGTAAATACCAACCCAAAATGGTAAATACCATTTCCATTTGGTTATCCGCTTGAATTTGATTAAAATGTCGGCGAACTCTTGATTCGAGAACATTGTAAATCAAAACGACGATGTACGCGAACAAAAACAAAACAACATACTAACCACTGATACCGTTTGCGATCGATTGCCGGTTCGATAAGAGTGATGACCGACACGCTGTTGTCATGTGTGTTTTGAATATTCAATTTAATGAAACTTACTTACTGACTACAAATTTTGGCTTAACTTAAAAAAACTTAATTCCATTTATTTGTTAATTACCCAATTTAAAAACGTAGATTAGATTATAAAAATTAGTAAGATTGTGATGATTGTGGTCGATATAAAGCACTTAAAGTTGTAAACTATAAAGCCATTTAGACAAAAATCTATTGACTTTTGGACCATGGGTCATATGAACTTTTTGACTTGTTTTGACCCCCCCTATTACTCATTTCAATAATGACTACCATAATGTTTACATCATATATATATATATATATATATATATATATATATATATATTGTTTAGAATCTGCAAAAAAATAAAAAAACGATTTTAAAAAATGTATGCTTGTGTTGTCGCGTAATTATGATTGACCCTGTAAGGTGAGAATAAGCAATTTGAAAAATTCTTTTGAATGCTTAATACGACGTTAGCATAAGCTGTTCAAAACATCATTGTATTTAAAAAGCAAAATAGTAATTGTTAAGTGAATGATAATATGAACTGCTAAACCGTTGATTATTTGGTTGTCGGAAAAAACGACCTAAAACATACATGTAGGAACGTAAAAAACGAACGTTACATGAAATTGGTTGTAATTAAGTTGTTGGGGTTATATAACTTATAATTTAGGAAATGAAAAGTAATTTTGTTGAAAAAGTATGGTGTTGTGCTCCAGTCCAGTGCGCGGCAGTGGGTGTGATCTACAAGGTTGTTGTGTGATGTCCACAGTAGGAGACCGAAAATTGACAGTGTTGGTCAAGCGTATATCAGAAGTAAGTATTTTAAAGTATACCATGTCATAATAACAGTGTTGCATAAAAAGACCAAGATTATTTTTGAGTTTCCTGAAGCATTAATAATAATGTCCAACCAGATCTCTTGATCATCAATAACTAACATTTTAATAATACAAAACACTTTACTGTTCTTAAATATATTCCCCGTTATGATCTATATACTTTTTCATGTTATCGAATCATTCTTAATAACACATTATCTACTCCGCTTGATATATCTCCAAAACAAGCTTCTTCTGCCGATGGAGTCCTCGAAATTTATTGTTGATGTAAGGGAATAAAAAGAAATCATTGAGTGCCAAATCAGGACTGTATGGGTGAGATTACATCAATGTTTTGAGTCCTCATTGTTTCACGAGAAACGTGAAATATATATGAGTGCGGCCTTGATTCCTCTGAGGTTTCTTTCGTGATGGCGCCACGCGTTTGGCCCGACCAGACGAACCCGACAGACTTCTGTTGCACATTCTGATTGTAACAGATCAATCAGGTCCTTACTAATATCATATTTAAGAAAGTGTGGATGTTTGTTACTCAATCACGCCAGAATGGCTGAACGGATTCGGATGAAACTTTGTTCAGAGATAGATTATAGCCTGGAACAGCAGATAGGCAACTTTTTATCTCAGGAGATCACTATATCTATTTCTCGTGCTACTGCCCAAACGGCTTAATGGAATTTGACATGCGATTTGTGGCGTGGAAGCGTTCAGTCGCTGGTCCGACTGAAACTACTAAGGGTATATAAATAGAGTTTTTGCATCGTTTATTTACTGCATTCTGACATACGTTTTCATAGCGTGGTCGTCTTGATTTAGATTTATTTGGTGTTTTGTTTTACTTCTAATGTAATACTGTAAATGTAAAGTTTTTATACTTATATGCCAAACATGCTCTGAAATATTTCATGTATTACTTATTGCGATTCTGATTACACATTAAATAATTATCTATTGTTGCAATTAAAACGCTGAATAAGAAATGCCGATTGCCAAAGTAACTATTGCATTACTTTGTATATTGCACTTTTTTCTCCGAAACCAATTTCATTCACTCTAATGCAAAAAGAATGATCCATACACTACTTTTACGCGGTTTTAGGTTTGTATATCTTTTTAATAGTTGCGACAGTTCTCCTTTACTGCTGTATCAGCCTAAAGAAATTTTTGAACGCGAGCTCATACATACTTCATAATATCTCTATTGTTCCTACGGATCTGTATATACAAAACCATTATATTCACTATATTTATAAAGAATGTGTATTCTGTATTCATCTCCTGGAGCAGATCAATTGTTGCCTTGAGTCGTGAAAAAAAAAATAAATATGATATTTGTTGCGAAATGACATAGTCATAATGTGAAGATTTGTGAAAGTAGATGTCACCGACTTAAAAAAAATGGAAGTTCGAAGTTCTTGCATGAATTAGAGCTCAAAATGATTCAAACAAGAATTTTCTGTATCGAACTAAAAGCTAGTTATTGGCAAAAAAACTGTGTGTCATGGACTCACCTAAAAATCTTACGGACTGACTTCTGTAGGGGCGGTTTGTCGCAAAAACAGGCACCCGTGGCCGTTATTTCTTATCTGGATTGTGGCTATATCAATTCAGGACAATTGAAACACAAAAAAGATATAGATATTTTGAGTATTTTGTGACTGGTTGAGAGGTGTCACTCAAAATAAATCGAAGTGTGAGATGGCGAAATGGAATAGTTGATGCCCCTATTTTGCTGCTTTTTGTGAATATAGTATATCTTGAGAGGATTTGAAAATTATAGCAAATATGTAAAGTTAATTGAATGATCTTACTGGAACGCAAATTTCACTAAATGTTTGTGTAATTGAAATATATAAACAGTCTGAATTCGGTTTGTCGTATCCCAAGAGGTGCAACCGGTGCCATTCGCAGAAAGATTCATAGGCACCCAATAGGTGTAACAGCTGCGGGGTCACGTAACAAATTATTAACTTTTTTCTTACTGCTTCTCAATAAAATTTCGTGAGAATGTTATCATTTAATTCTTTATGTAAGACTACCTAATTGCCAAAAAATCAAGTTGAAAAAATTATTTTTTCTGGGTGTAAAAAAAAACTTTAAGCATTAATTGCTGCATGTAACACATATAATTTCGAGCCGAAGTTGGAAAAATCACCCGTGAATTGTCGGGTTTTAACGGACACGCATCAAAGGGAACCGCCGGATCATATTGATGTTTACGCTTGCACGATCAACGATCATCGCCGATAGTGAAGTGCAGGCATAAGAGTTTGTGAGTGAAAGTGCATCAGTGCAGCTTACGTTTATTCTCAATATTAAGGCATTTGCACTCCTTGATTTTATGTGTTACTTGATCGTACTTCCTGATTCCATAAATTAACCTATAGCAACTACTTTCAACCTTCTGAATCCGAGAATTATCTGCCTCTGTCAGGCAGGTTCCATAAACAAAGTCTCAGTAGATGAAGTGACTTAGGACTAGTGCTTCACATAAGGTCTTCTTTAGATTTCTCCTGTTACTGTAAATTAAAAATGTCTAACTGATTAGATTTGTGACATGGCCACTGAAACGAAAGTTTGTGTCTATAACTAATCCCAAATACTAGTTTAGTATCACGGACTGACATAGAAATACGAGGCTCTATAAGACATCTAGCTTCATAAGAATGTCATTATCAAATGAGAAACTTAAGACCCTTTCGAAATATTACAGGGATATTTGTTGAATTATAAAAAACATGTGGACAACAAGCCAAATCATTTTTCTAATAAAGCGCTCTATGTGAAACGCGGTTCAGTATTGTCCAAGATATGGAATTCTATCTTTGAGGCATGCAAGACGTGCAAGTATGTAGAGTAAAATACCGACACAAACCACCATGTATGGCAAGCTTTAGTTTTTTACAGTAGGTTCACATTACCGTGGCATAACATTTTATAGTCTCGATAGAACATACTATTTTGGACAGAGCCCATATATTATATCACACTTCCGTATAAACAAACTAAATGGGTGATAAGATTGAGCTTACACAACTTATCAGTCCAGTACAGCGTCAAGTTCAGGGTCCATCAATATAAACTGTAAATAATTATAAACTCTATTGGTAGTTTTGTAGATAAGATTCGTGATGTGTGAATGGAATAATTTATTTCAATACTATCAGCAAACTCTGTTTATCTTTCGGCGGATAGATAAATAAGTATAGATGTGTACTCTCAAATTCAAAATTCCAAGATCATCATCAGTAACATCATGCTACCATAGAGATGTTGCATTTCATCGTGTGTCCGAGGTTCGATTTGGACACAAGATTACTTATGTGGCAAGAATCAAAGATTTTATCAGGCTTTGAGAATTTGTCAGGGAGAGGCAAAATTACGCAAGGCACGTAGATAGATACTCCTATGGCAAGAACAAGTAACCTGTACAGGTTTAAAAAATATTTCAAACCTTCGTTTTTTATATGTACGAGAAAAGTGGCAATGTTGATATACCTTTTATTTTTAAGTCGGAAAAACCGGCTTTGGGTAAATTAATTTAGTTACTAAATATGACTGTGTTTTTGAATAAATAACCCTACGAGTCAGATTTGGCAGCTGGTATTTATACATTTTCCCAATTTTCATCCATTAATGGTCTTCGATATATGATCATACTTTCTGACATCGTGTGTTGATTCAGACGAATCTTTTGAAACCGATTTTCAAGGTAGATTTGAATAAACAAAATGGGTTTTTCAGAAAATTCATAATAACTGCATTTAGACACAAGAAGTGAATGATTAATTGTATCAAATTAAGTCAGGAAGTATGAGAGCTACTGCTTTTTGATTGCCAAGCGCCTTTGTTATATTGTCTAAATCACAGAATGCCGAAGCTGTATAATGACCTTGTCGAAATCCAGATTGTTTAGATGGAACAATTTTGTTAGAATATAATATGTAGGCACAAAGCTGCTCGTAAAAAAGACGTTCCAATACTTTTGAGAAAATAGACTGTAAACTGATCGGTCTTAGTTGATCATAGTTAGTCAGAACACTCTCTAAACAGCAGTTGATTATATGTGTTAAGTACACATCAATTTTAGATATACATTATAGTATCATATGCAAAGTTATTCCGTCTGAACCACTATTCACTTTACTAAATTTATTTTATGCGGATCTAATAAACACGCGCAGAATTGTATAATCTTTCTGAGATTGCACGATGAAAATCTTTAGGGTTTTATAAAAATTTATTATATCCTGATTTTCAACAGCTTGTAAATAATCTCCTTTTTGTTTCCGCACGATTTCTAAAATATAAATGTTGCCAAGAGGCGACTGTACGAGCTGGTTTGAAATTTGACAAAGCTTCAGCTCTCTGCTTGAATACAAGTTTAATATTATCACCAAGAAGCAGGAGCTTTGTTTAGACGCACTACCTTTTTTGGAGAGTGATCCTTAAATGAACATAAAATATAGTCTGTTAAAAAGTTCATCTTACCTTCTTAAGCTAGGTACGTAATGTATTATTTTTCTAAGAGGGCCTGAATTGTCCCACTTTCATTTTAGCTGCTACTACCACAACAGCTTACTCCACGTTAAATAGACTAAAATAAAAGATCCGTCTAAATTACAATCAGTCTGTTAGAAATCTCTGCCATGTAAATATTTTCTATTTCTCATTGCGTCTGCAGAAAAATCATACTTTTCAAAAGCTAAAATGCCGCTAAAACCGAAAAATACTGTTACTATATTCTGCCCGTAACTAAGCAGTTTCCATACGTCAACTGATAACAAATCCCAGGATCGGTCTTGAGATCTACGACCCATGCAGGATGAATAATTCAGAAAAAAGGAGAGCAGACAACAAACAAAATGTTTAAATTATACGTTTTGTGGCTCCGAATCGCATCTGATTATATAGATCAGGAATTTTAGGAAAAATATATAGATGGAAGTACTTTATTGAAGGCTCCTAATCCAGACACGTACACAAAATTCTGCTGGCTAACTTTTGCTTTCCGTGCCTACTGGCAAGGAAACTATTGTAATAATGAAAAATTCCAAAAACACGAAATTCGAAAAAACATGTCACTAATTTCCGTCGATGTCTGTCCACAAATTCATTGCCAGTTTATAAGTTGGAAAGTTCAGGGCGGGTTTTGATGAAATGAAATTTACACAAAGCTACTACTATGACAACGACACAAGAGCTTTGTAGTTTTTGCAAAGCGTCCAGTTGCCACGGAGGAAAAGGACAAAAATGAAGATAATAAAAATCGCTCAAACATCGCTTTTTTTGGCGTTTTAAATGATCCTGACCATTTCTGAAAAAATTTTGAGTGGTAGAAATTGGGGTGAGGAGTTATAGGGGGATGGGAGAGAGCGTATATCTAAATTTTTTTGATACTAGTATATTTATACGCCCCCAACGTCGGTAATTCTACACTACACCGCCCTTAAAACTTTGAATGATAGAGTTCCTGTTCCTGCTTCTGCTGTCTGGGATCACCGGCGAGCGAATCGGCCTTGGTAAGTGGTTTGGCCTTACTGCCGCATTGCCGCGTTTCACGGACAGGTATCGGGGAGATGCGACTTGCGATACAGCAGGGAAAGAATGCCGATTCACTAACTCTATAGGCGTGTTTGACTGACTTGACCCATTTAATTTTTTTGTTATACATGTTCGCTACATTTTTTTCAAAGGGTCTAATTTGTGCTGAAGATAATAGTTTATGAACTGTTGACGGGGTTGTGTGAGAAGTGCAGAGTCAACCTACCCGACGCCTTTTTTTTTATTAAACGTCAAAGTTACAAAAAGCATCGACTATAGCTTTTAAAATTTTTGAACCTTATATCGCTTATAATTCAATGGCCATTCATGAATATTTTTCTTTTAGAAGTGTCTGTCTGGATGTTCAATCAAATACTAAAAAAAAAAAAAATCGAATCTTTTTCAGAATGAAATGTTCTGCATTTCATCAAACACTCAAGCAAACTCTTTTAAGAAAATTTGCGTAGCATATTATAGCGTTGTGATGATACGTATTCAAGTTATAAGCGAGTCAGTATACAAGACCGCTCATCTCTGACAGCTTGCCAGTCTGCCACTTAAAGACAGCCATTTTGTATCCTGAGGGTGTAAAGTACTCAGCTTCAAAATAATATTACACAAAGCTCTACGCTCTAAGCTAAGATATAGTATTTATGCACCAATTTCATCACCTCAAATTTGAGCTAGCTTGATCAGCACGGGTATTATGAAAATAACCTATAAAACAACAAAAAATAAAAGGATATAAAATTTCATCTTGCAGACTAGGTAGTTTTTAGGGCGCAAGCAGTCATTCCATGTTTGCTAAGTAGGATCGTTGCGAGTGCTCATCTATGGAATGGCTCAACTACATCACTACATGCATTGTTGGTTGCATATGCTTTGTGAAGCCGGGTAGTCTAAAGTTTTTATCTATGATAATAAAGTTGGATGAATAGCAAGATCGCATCTAGATGATTATGTGTATTGGTCTGCATGTGTATAAAATCAGTGATATTTGCTGTGTACGAAAATCATTACTGAATATGCTGCTAATGAAGTTTGTATATCTATCAGCTGTACCCGAAGAGTTATTCATATGTTGCCCTTTATGAAGACAGGTTATGTTCAAAGTTAAAATTACGATATAATGTCAAAAAAAATCGACCTAATGTCACTTTTCAAGATATGTAATACCTGTGCCGTTTAGGGAATAGATAAGGAGGGGAACCTTTTCGAAAAGCACTGTATGTATGTAAGTGATTTTGAACTTTGACAAAAAAATTACATGTCAAAACCTTTTGTGTTTCTGGATGAGGTACTTTACCATTTACCCTGAGAATATAATTCTATTGTCTAAGCCGTCTATATTTTTTTCTACAACGATCAATTTTTGGCTAGTTAACCTGATCTAATACGGTAGGATCGATATCGGTGGAGGCACCATCGCACATTGGTTGTTGTATCGCTTCAACAAATAAAACATTGAGAGCTAATGATAACTGGTTCTGGGAAGATGAGCGCTTGGCATTTTTTAGTTGGTACCACCGCGCGTGCACCAGTCGTTGCGAAGAAGTCCCCAGTGGTAAGATAGTGACCTGCCGCTGCGGTTAACAGTAAGTACCATTTAACCAGCATCACGGTACTTCTTACAGGGTGTTCAAGATAAGAGTATTATTAGGATATTAGACTCTTCTGCGGATCAGAAATTTGTATTCCATCGTAGTGCTTCCAGTGCCAGTCTTCCAAAGACTATGAGTGCATACACAGGCTATCACAATGATGTAATGATCACAGACCGTCTTTATTGATTTTTATGGACAATGAAGATACAAGTAGCGAAGTTTAGCTAACAGTTATTCTACTTAACCGCTGAAGGGCAGCGTTCAAACCAGTGCATGATTAAACTAGTACTAAACCGAAGAATCGACGAAGTAGACAAAAAGGCCTATAGTAAATGAGATTTTTCAAAAAGAGTTGATCAACGCAGGCATTCGCGAAGAAACACACATGTGTTGATTATGCTTTTCAAGTCTTACTTTTACAGCTGCGGGAGCAGTAAATTTTATGGTAAACAAACCTGACCACTTTTGATATCTAACTATAACTATCCATAAACAATAATAAAGAAATAACAAAAAAAAGATACTATCATTGATCCAACTGCATATTAAACAAATAACGTTTTAATTTGAATTTGCACTTGTTTATATTTAGAAGCTTGAATTCTTGTGGAAGCTGATTATACATCCTAATCGCATTATACAGGGTGATTCACAAGCCGTGACCAAAAATGATACATCATACACAGGACTGTATTTTAAGAAGGGTTTTCTATGTAACATTTTTCCCTCGAGGACTTCATTGAAAAGATACGGAGTGTTGAAGTTTCAAAATAAAATCATTTTTTTTAATATCTTCAAAACCGTCAACTGGAATGAACCAAAATTCGGTATGTGGATTTACCTAAGTATTGTCCACATTCAAAAGTCTTTACTTAAAATTAGCGTGCACCAGTGGCGGAGATACAGGGGATCAGTGGCACCATTTTTCCAAATAAAAATAGTACGCGCAATTTTTCGAATGTTACTCTCAATTTTCTACAAATAATTACACTTATGTTTTTTCCTACGGTGCACTGTTTTCGTAAAAATAAAAGTAAAGCAAATTAGATCATTCAAGAACAGCCGGTTTCAAAATAAAATAGGAGGCCTTGATACCAACTTCACGTTTCTTGGGAGATAGTTTGTCGAAGTTATGTGTTATACGGTTGCTATCGTTACTATTACCATTTTTTTTTTGTAAAAGTCAAGTCAAAAGTTTCTTTTTCCATTTTTGACTGTTGTGAAATGGAATTTAGCAATGATGAGTTCTCCGATATCATTTTTGTGTACGGATTCTGTGATGGAAATGCTTTCCTAACAAATGCCAACCTACCCCAAAGGTTTTTACGCGTTCATTTCTAAGACTTCAGAAATATAGATCCCATGTCTCAAACGAGAATCTTAAAGTTTTACATCCTTAGCATCAACAAAATGTGTAATGTACAAAATGCTTATGTTATTTTTATTGCACATTTCTGTCTTATTAGAGTTGAACTTTGAGCTGTGCTCCTCAATTAATATATTGATCGATTGAAGCTCTTCCTTGAAAGTTCGTTCCGCTGCAGCTGTGTATTTTACAAAAAAAGCTAAAATAAACTCGAATGTCATTAGCGTAGGCTTGCACCTTCACATTTTGTATTTTACTTAAAATATCAGCCGTGTATATTATGTATAACAAGGGCCCAAGTATGGACCCTTGTGGTACCTCTGACAGAATATCTATGTTTGCCGAATAAGATCGATCAACGTGGATTTTCCCAGAGCGTCTAAGTGAAAAGCTGCATATGAAAAACAGTGAGGAGTCATTGAAACCATAGTACTTGAGCTTTGAAAACAATAATTCTGATTGATGTTATCAAAAGCCTTGTGGAAAATGCGAAAGCACAAGAGCGCTAGACAAACCAGCGCTGGTTTAGATATCGCACTACATTGATAGATACACCTGATATATGTATATGTATAATGTATAGATTAAAATATTCTTCTGTTTAAAATAAATAAATATGGATGGAGCTCAAATAAACATGATTTATAAAAATGAATAAAAAAAAGAACAGCCAGAATTGAAATGTAGGACTGTCACAAGGCTAACATAAACAGTGTAATCTAATTATACAAATGAATCGTCTATCAGGATACCTGAAAAGTATTAATTCAAAGGGTAAATTGCTTTATTTTTTAATACCTAAAATTGAGTTTTAGAAAAGTGAGTGGTAAGATTCTGAAGCTGTTTGGAATTTTTTGTTAAGTATCGGTTTCGGTCATTCAGCTTTGGATAATCGGTAATGAGCTAAAGAATTTTGTATGTTAGCGTTGCATCTGAATCTTGGCAAAATTTAACTTGAAACATGATCGTGCAATCTAATAATCTATGGAAGCTCGATGAAAGTTGCAGCCTAGCTAATCGTGCTCCACGATATTTTCCGGAAAAACTAGTTCTCTGTAATAACCACTTAACACCTTATTAAAAAATACATAAGTAACTTTTATCGAGCATCGTGATGATTGCTGGAATAACCGATCAATTATTTCATTGATATGTATAAGATTAATCTGATGAATCTTCACGATGACATCTGGTGAAATCTAAATAAACCCAAATAATACCACAAGTTGTAAATCCCATTCGGTAATCACAGGCTTCCTTGAAATATCGTGCTTCATTGTTGTTTTAATAGACGTTTCGATGTACAATATACAGGGTGGCGGCAAACTCCCTCGAGGCAAAAGTGGATTTCACTCTAAAAAAAAAATGCGTAGAAATAAATAGCGACTATGGAGAAGAATTGCTTAAAGATTAACGTCTCCAATGGTGAATTCGATTTTTCAAATAAAAAATGTAGTAACCCTACTCTGGAGCCATTCTTCGTATTACGTGTTATATCACGAAAAACGATGTTACTCATTTCCGTCGGTCTGTCTGTCGGTTTGTCCATCCGGTAATCCTTGGTCCTCCTATAATTTTTATACAATGTTACTACAATGCCAAGTATGGAGAAGCCTTGTACTTTTTGGTAATCGTTCAGTGGCGGAGGAGAAAAAGGCAAATAACGGAAAAAGTAAAAATAATCATTCTTCGTTTTTTGACATTACAGAAAACCCTGATCATAAAAATATTTAGAGATATAAAATTAGGGGGTTGGGGTTTGTAAGGGTATTATTGGAGATTCGTATATTTATACCCTCCGAGCCTTGGAAAGTCTACGCACCTGCTACCCAAATTTCACACATCATAAGTTTCACAGTACATTTGTCTTCAGAACATAATGATAGACAAATGTTTCCCATGTGAGACTCCTACGGCTAGCTGGGCTCCGCGCCCGGCGTAACGGTCTGCTTAAGTCATCTGCTCTACCGCGGTGCTGCTTTGGTGGGCGCTGTGTGACTGACTGAACAGCGTTCCATAGCAAGTGCATAGTCACTTCACTTGACGCCGTTTTTTCAGTTTACCATTGCTAGTTTTCTCTGGGAATATTCAGTGTTCCAAGTTCTTGACGAGTCGACCGTGAATTGGTGGTGCGACATCTTCTGTTCATAGACCAGAGCGTCGAGCAGTTATGAGCCAGAAAGCGTAGGGGTCCTCTGTCAGTTTGGAAAATCATTGGTAGTTGACGTCCTTCACCTATCTGCACAAAGGAAAATTATAAAATAAATCATAAATTACTGTTCACAAAAATGAGAATAGAGCTTTTATTTGACTCTACTGGAGAATTTTATAAAAACGCATAAAATGATTACAAACCGCTTAGCCCCTAAGAGCTATAAGAAGTTCCTTTTCATTAATTGCATAAGTATGCTTGCTCTGAAAATAGTTACGGGCTAGGTGCTGCATGAGGAGAAAAGAGTTACAGTGGCGAAGAAAAGTCAATAGATTGTTTTCATATTTCTATTATGAATTGGTTTCACTTCCGTGTGAAAACATAATATAAGCCAGTACTGCGCTTAGGTTTAACTTTTTTAAATTGTACTTCTCATGGCTATATGAGCTTCACCTCTAAGGACGGCAAGCACCAGCTAAGAGAATTTAAAAAGTAAATTTTCTGCTGAAAATATATATGGAATTCCCGGTGAAATTGGTTCCGTAAATTAATTTAGTAGGACTATGTAGCCTCAGTATCAAAAGTATTGCCTCATCATTCGTTTACAGAGACTCCAAAGTATCCAATCTTAGCAACATACTAATTTAGTTTTGAATTTACTTGCCTGGTGCACGCCACCCTAAGTGATTAATTTCACCCGTAGTGACCAATGAGACACCTAGCGGAGAAAGCGGCGAGAAGAAAAAAGAAGAAGACATAATAGAGAAATGTATAGGTCCTTTTGGACGATGGCAGATATGGGTGTGTTGTTTGGCAGGGATTGCAAAGTTTCCCACCTCCTGGCATATGATGAGCATCATATTCTTGGCGCCACCCATCAAAACCTCTTGCGTGGACAGCAATGTTACGGATCTGTGCTCGAATGAATGTCCTGGGATAGAGTATGATACGTAAGTTGTTAAATTTTGAGATTAAAAATAGCAAAGGTTTTCTCATCTCCAACCTCTACTAAAGCTAGTTTGGTCTGCCTTCGTCTGTCGTCCCAGATGTGGTACACCTTTGGTTATATAACATAATATATAACCAACGTATTACGTATAGTTTGTTCAGCGGAAATATCTGAATCGTTTGTAGTTGAAAATATTTGTGGCACTTCAATTTCTTGGAAATGCTTGTTATATCGTTCTCTAACTGTTTTTCTGTTTACATCAATCCAAAGTAATTAATGAGTTAGAGCAATTAATTTTTGATGGCTTCTCCGTATCAGGATGGCTATTCTTTAAAACTGTTTAATATGGAAGCTATTCCACTTTTTTGGCACTGCAAACAATAGTAGAGATACAGGGTGTCTGCGAAAGGTTGTGAAATGTCGAATCTGGAGATACTACAGACCAAAATATGTGAATTGACCTAAACATGCTTCGGTACAAAAGTTGATAGTTTGCGATATACAACGTGTCGAAGTTACTATATTATTTTATATTTTTCCTTATTGCTTTATTGCTTGAGAAGTATTTCAGATTTTGGTATAAAACTCGGTATAGGGAGATTTTATAGTATGAAATCCGCTATTTTTAATGGCTAAACTTCTAGAGGGCGTCACTTACACCACTATTTCGGGAAATAACTTATCATAACTGTTTTGTGCAACCCTGTATACAAGAATTGACAAAAAAACTTATTTTCCCGTATTTTCACAACAAAAAAGGTTTTTGTTAGAAGTGTCTAAAGCTAATAGTTTTCGAGATATTTGTTTTCAAAGGTTCCAATGAATTATTTCTACCATGATGATAAAACATTTTTATAACATAATAATCAAGTTGCTTTGGATAATATCTTTGTAGCGTTGCTATGGTTTCTAATGTTTATCATAATATTGCCTTAAACTTCATGAATAATTTTAAGATGACAATAAGTCGTTAAACATCATGGAGTATTCCTTTGATGAACATTCTGATATGCATTAAATTTAATGAACGGATTGGCAAGATGTAAAGCTTTAAAAATAAATATCTCGAAAACTATTAGCTTCAAACACTTCTAACACGTGAACCTTTTTCGTTGTGGAAATACGAGAAAATGAGATTTTTCGGTCAGTTGTTGTATACAGGGTGGCATAAAAAATTTATGATAAGTTATTTACCGAAAAAGTGCTGTAAGTGGCGCCCTCTAGAAGTTTGGCCATAAAAAATTACGGATTCTTGTTTCTCATACTAAAAAACCTCCCTACACCGAGTTTTATGTCAGAATCTGAAATACTTCTCAAGCAATAAGGAAAAATAGAAAATAAACTTTGACCCCGTGTACCTCGCAAATTATCAACTTTTGGACGGAGGTATGTTTAGGTCAATTCACATATTTTGGTCTGTAGTATCTCCAGTTTCGATATTCCCAACCTTTCGCAGATACCATGTATATTTAGATGCCACACGTGCTTCCTTTGTTAAATTATCGATATTTTGTAATAAAGTGGATGGAAACTAATACTTTTTTCATTCAATCTAGAACTATTTTCTCGTCTACCATCACAACAGAGTGGCATCTAGTTTGTGATAAGAAGTATTTGGTGAGCGTGTCTCAGTCAGTACTGATGCTTGGCATATTGCTTGGTAGCGTGCTGTTTGGATATCTTTCTGACAGGTGAGTAAGCTAACTGTACATCAATTTAAAGAAACTACTGTTGTTATTCAAGTTATCGAAAAAAGCTATCCTGTATGAAGCTACTCATCTCTATCGGAAGACTTTTTCTGTGTATGCTAATCAATAACGGAAATTTTTCCTGATGTTAAATATATTTGATGGAGCGACTCAATGCATTACTTTCTTGAATACCTTTCGCTTCATGGAGCTTAATCAAGGTACGAACTCACTTTTCCAGGGGAAACATTTTCCCTTGAGGTTTTTTCTGCTGAAAAACACGTAGCTTATACGTATAATAGAAACCCGGTTTCGGGAATATCGTACAACCTTATTTAAATTCTGTAAATGGTTTTTTATTATATACCGAAGCCATTTTTCTTGAAAGGATGGTTTTGTATGTAGGTATGGAACAACTACGCTTTCAAAATAGGGGGACGCTTTTAGACATGTTACAACTATTTCAGCCTCAATAGTTTTGAGCTAGGATATCACCATTAAAAAGTAAAACCAATATGTTTTTATAGCACCTGAGATACTTTATTCTTTTCGTAATTGTTTCAACTTGCCTTAATGATTGAACTTAAATTATAGTTCATGGCATTATGTGACGTATATTTCACCTGACAGCGGACATTACGTTGTAATTGTGCACTGTTATTTTGAAATAAACATTATTTATTATTATTATTATTATTATTATTATTATTAATCATGGATATATGTCCCACAAAGGCCTATACTGGAGAACGATTCTCTGCACTTTTGATTTCACCTTCTCATTTTTTTCTTGGATAAACTACAAGATATATCGCATTATTAAACATACCTTTGAAACCCAAATTGAGTCGGGAACTGATAAAAATACACACGGTTGATATGAAAAAAAATTCAGGAATAAATACAAGGCTTTATGAATAATGCAACCCATTGAACAGTATATTCATTTTAGAAATTTACATAGAAATCATTTGCATTACAAAAACAAAAAGAGAAACTGATTTCGAAGAGGTGTTAAGTGAGAATACGAATACGAATAAGTATCCAGGCCGTTATATGCAAATAAAAATACATTTAGTATTAAATCTGGCTTGCCTTCAAAGAAATATATGCTGGATACATACAATCTATCTTTTTTCCGCAAGGCTTTGATTTTATAATTGGCGCTAAAGATGAAAGTGAAACGTTAGAAAACTCTTCAGTTATTCTGGTGTTTAGTAACAGAACGCCATCCGTGCCCAGAAGACAACTTTGGTTTTCACTAACATGCACCTGGACATTGCCAGCTAATGAAATGTTGCTACAATATCAGACTAAGCGATACATGATAAGGCATATATTTGAAACAAAGATACGTTTCTTAGAGTTATCTGTATCTCTACCTCTTGAGTGGCGAGGGAACTAGTTCAAATATTCACATTCATGTTAAAATTTTCACGGAACTCCTTCCAAACTTACTCCAAACAATATTCTCTAATCTGTTTTTTAGATAATGCAGCAGTCGTGTTGTAAAGCTTACTTTTAACCAACAGTATGAAAAACTTCCTTTACAAATGACTACATGCTTCCTCCACATCTGACACATAAGTAATCTACTTGGTAAATATGATGCAACAATACACATTATTACCAAATGCTTCTTGGTTGAAATGTCGATCAAAACTGTATGTCGATTACGTCAATTTTACAATTTTTAAATAAATAATCCATCCGACATTGATGTTCTGTATTCCCCTCATCACACTATGATACCATCTTTATCCAAATCCGTGATGATGTATGGTCGATTACCATTGGAGCTTAGACTATTAAACATTTGTTGACTGAATATATAACTGATACAATCTGTTCTGAGCCTTCTTTGGCGAATGTAAAGGAAGCTCTGGCTGTATTAACGCCTTGTTCAACAGTTTGGAGTATCTGACGATCCACAGCTGTGAAAACTGTTGAAAGTATGTGCAATTGGCCCGATAGCCTATTTTTTGATAATATAGATTGTAAAACTAATAGCTTGTAATTATTTTTTTAGATTTGGTCGTCATAAACCAATGGTGTTCGCTATAGCTCTGCAGTCAATGGCAGGTCTTGTAGCAGCTTTTTCTCCATGGTTCTTTTTGTTCGTAATCATGAGATTTTTAGCTGCAGTAGCAACGGCTGGTACTTTGCTAATTAGCTTCGTGTTGCTTATGGAAGTTGTAGGTAGGTTACTTAGAAGTTGTTCTTTACGTATAAGATATTAATCTGCGCTGCTAAATTTATGCCTTAAAGCTATCTTAAATGGTAAAATTTAGTAAATGTTTGTAATTAGTTGGTTTTATCATTGATTAACGTATTGTATCTGACTGGGTATCTTCAGCTGGAATGCGTTAACTAGTGCCTTAATAGCTACAATTCAAGAAGAAAACATAACTTCACAATAACCGTGAAAACCAAGGAGGCCACAAAGGCGTCCTACAATTACAGGAACGACTAACGATACGGACATAAAAAGACCCTAGCGCCATCTATGAGACAGTGGCAGAACCAAACACTCTTTTAAGTCGATTTTTGATATCACTTTTATGTTCTGCTACTCTATCATGGCGTTAGTATCTTTCAGATGCCATTTTGGATGTCGGATAGAACACGTTACCCAACGGTTTTACCTCAGCATTCAGTGATGTCTAGAGAAATATATCCAGCATTATTCTGAATTGCTTAACGTTGGTCAACAATGAATCTCCCTTTGTTTTGATGCCTTTTTCAGGGAAAAGTGATTCTAATATCTTTTATACCGTATAATGTAGTATTATGTAAGTTTTTTTATAAGCATGTGTTACTTTTAGGAACGAAATACAGGATGATACTAGGCTGTCTCAGTCATATACCATACTTTGTAGGCCATGCATCTATGGTAGCTATAAGTAAGTATACATAAAATTGGATCTCAGAAATACCCTTTTATATAACCTACCGAAAAACAAGTGCCATTGTCCGTTTCGAATATCGGAACGGAAAAGGGTCCATCACAGGTTGCAGCAGAGCTGACGATGAAACGGTTGAAAGACGAGCTACAATGTAGTTATTTCCATTGCCATATCTCATAAACAGTTTTCGTTCGAATTTAATGATATAACAAGTGAGTTTGAAGTTGTTTCCTGTCAGGAGGAGGAGGAGGAGGAGGAGGAGGAGTTGCGGCAGATGTCATTTTTCTGAAGCCTGAAAAAAAATAAACTAATAAAAGGTTTAGCACGCTGTCCATTAATAAAAAGTTATAAAATCACAGGTATAAAGTGAGCATTGTGCAAAAACCGGAGTGAAAAATCATTAAAACGCAAACATAACATATATGTATATACTTACCCATGAAACGAAACATGTCATTCTGCCTAGAGGGCTATAATTACCATTGATAATTTCAAAAACACGCAAAAAATCAAAATCAAGAAAAATCGAGCAAGTTGCTCCGTCAACATGAAAACTCACAATTACACATTTAAATGATGAACGAAGCGCTTACGCATCTTATACGATGACTGCATATGCGACGGTGTCAGTTGTTGCGCCTTCATATTGCATTTTGCTAAGAATAACCCAATAATACATATTCCTTCTCACCACGCCATGGAAGACATATAACTACCTACATATATGATTACCTTTAATCCTTTGTTAACTTATTGATAGATACTCAACACCAACTATAGATAGAGGGATTGAGGAGATATTTGCAAGAAATCCTGATATTAAGGATTGGCCTATTTTTTTTAGTGGTCGGTTGCAACAATGCGCTAATATAAAAATTCTTAAATTTTTGACAAAAATACAAAAATTGCGAGCTTAGGGTTTTTAAAGCAGTCAAGTACTAACATGGAAAAAATGTTAAGAAATCTCAAAATACATATGTTTTAAGATACGTAAGTGCAAACACTTGATATAATGCGATCAATTCAATTATTTTAGTAATTGTCAGGGGCCGAAACCCCACTTATAGACCCTGATCCTTGCAGTTTAACTTAACGATTTATTTTAGGTTATTCCCTGCGAGACTGGAGAGAATTTCAAATAGCCATATCCGCGCCCACTATCATCCTCCTAGTCTATTTCTGGATCCTACCTGAGTCACCCAGATGGCAGCTTTCAGTGGGCAAAAAAGAACAAGCAATTTATACCCTCCAAAAAGCGGCAGCATATAATAAACTGCCAGTTGAAAATATCGAGCGTGACGTCACAGCCGATTTGCAAAAACGCACAGTAAATAATGTTGAGAAAAAGAAAGGGAATCTGTTGGATTTGGTCAAGACAAGGATTATTCTTACGTATACATTATTGATGTGTGTTTGTTGGTTGGTAAGTGGATTTGAGCAATCCAAAGTTCCTGTCCCCTCTCACGATCTTTGATATATTATTTGACATTTGAGAAGGGTTATAGAAATCATGATCGCATTTTCGATTCTTTGTTCTGTATCGATATACGTTTTTTGGGGAAATTAAACTGCACTTCCATGCTTCACATAATCACGTTATGATCAAGCCACGAACGCAGAAATATACTAAGTTACATATAAATCCAAACACCCAGCTTAAATGGTTTTATTTTAATAAAAGTTGGTGAATGTATTTATCTTACTGTAAATAACAAGTGAAAAAATTTTCAGCCTTATCAGTTGGACATTCCGGTTTTTATACTGCTTTTTTTAACTCACTAACGCTCTAAAAATGAATATTTCAGCCGCAGTAAAGAATCAACGTTGCCGGATTTTGGTTCTTGACATCCTTTACGATCGGTTACGATGCCTAGAGTACGGAGACCTGTACGATTTCGTCAACTTAGTGAGTTTGATAGGGGCCGTATAGTGGGACTTCGGGAAGCTGGACTTTCTTTTCGGGCAACTGCAGTTAGAGTGCGAAGAAGTGTAGACACTGTGGTTAGGTGTTGTCAGGCATGGCTTCGAGAAGGCCGTACGCAAAGAGCAAGGGGCACTGGACGCCGCCGTAGAACAACAGACCGTGAAGATCGCCGCCTAAGATTATTGGCCTTAAGGGACCGTTTCTCCACTACCAGGTCCATTGCAAATGAATGGTTTGCAGAACACGGAAGACCTATTGGCATGCGAAGTGTTTACCGACGAATGAGAATTTTTTTCTTGTTTTCATACCGGCCACACTGGGTCCTCCCTTTAACTCGAGAACACCGACGTAATCGCCTTGAGTTGTGCAGACAACGGTCACTCTGGGATCAGGAATGTAACAATATTGTCTTTAGTGACGAGTCTCGATTTTGTTTAGGCATGCACGATGGTCGTGCCAGGGTTAGAAGGCCACGTGGTGAAATGAGGAATCCACAGTTTTTTGTTGAAAGACATGTTCATCACACTGTTGGAGTTATGGTTTGGGGTGCTATAGCTTATGGTTCCAGGTCACCTTTAATCTTCATCAGAGGTAACATGAACGCGCAGCGTTATATCCACGAAGTTCTAGAACCCCATCTTTTACCATATCTTGACACCCTGCCAGATCCAACTTTCCAACAAGATAATGCCCGACCACAAGTTGCAAGAGTCACAATAGACTTCTTTCAACATAATGATGTCACATTGTTACCATGGCCACCAAGATCTCCCGACTTATCCCCAATTGAGCACGTGTGGGATATGATGGGTAGGAGATTGCTCAATTTGCAACGTCCTCCTCAGACTCTAGAAGCACTTCGAGAGGAGTTGGTGGTTGCCTGGAATGAGATACCACAGGAGGACATTGACCACCTGATCAGAAGCATGCCTAGGCGCGTTGGAGAATGCGCAGCACATCAGGGTGCATCCACACATTATTAAAGGTTAAAGGGCTTTAAAGCAGTGCAATTATTTTGAAATTTTTATCATTTACTTATTATGCTTCATTGAGTACTTATACAAAATTTTATTAAAATAAAACCATTTAAACTGGGTGTTCGGATTTATATGTCACTTAGTATATATAAATGATGTAATTAAAATCCTAATTATAACTCAGTTATACTTTACTTAATGGTTATAGAGAAATCTCCTGTTGTGATTCCTATGGGTTCTGAACACTGGAGGTAGTATTTTTAGAACATCAAAGTTTTTAGGGTAATACTACCAAACTTGTATTTGTTGACATTTGATCGATTCAAATTCCTAGATGTCATTGCTTAAAAAAGTACAACCTGATAATGGCGTCTTTTAGCATTAGCGATTTGAAAATGGCTAATACATCAAGAAACCTCTAGATGTGAGTTCAAATTCCAGTGGTGCCATACTTTTTAATGCAAGTAGTTAGATAGGCTCTCGCAATTCAGCTTCTATTCAGATGTTATTTTTAGGTGTCCGGGTTTTGCTACTATGGAGCAAACCAATACGTAGGTCAACTTGGAGGTGACATCTTTCTGAATGTTGCTCTGTCAGCGTTAATCCAACTTCCTAGCAACTTTTTCGCTTGCTGGTCGGCGACTGTATGGGGAAGGAGAAAGACTTTAATGTTTGCTTACACAATAGCTTCAATGGCTTTAGGAGGAATGAGTAAGATCGAGTTATTTTTAGCGATATCGTCCGTACTATAGAAAGCAGCAGATATTAAGATGCATTTCACATTTCATTTATATTTGTTGAGAGGCATGTCTCTTTCTTCAGATGTTAAAAAAATTATGCCTTTCTACTTTGGAGACTGCTGATACCTTGTCATTTATATGGAGAAGGCAGTTCATGATATATTGGGAGGGCAATATTAAAATTCTCTGAAGGCCAAAGACACGATGTCGTGGCGTCGCGCATCCCCAGATCAGTAATGCGTATGACATGATGAAATAGAGTAATGCATAATAAGTTGTTTTCAATACAGATGTACTTACGCCGTTCGCTAGCCGGTCGCAACGAATGCAGTCCAGATCCAAGTCTTTTCGCCACATGGTTTATGTGGACATCCCATTTAAGATACGGGTCGACATGCACCAACAGGAATTTAGCAAATGGTGTATTCATATTTACTTTGTAGTGAGAACACGATCTGTTGGGTCTTGCTTTGATTGAGCAGAAGTCGAACCATGTCTTAATATCTGACTGTACGACTTCCATTCATAATATTGATTCATCCGGAGAACCTTCAGTAAAATCATGAAGTATGCTTATCAAAGTCAAGTCAGTAATGTGCAACCGGAGTAATATTGGACCCAATACTGAGCCCTGTAGAACTCCCATGGACAGTTCCCTTTCTTGCGACACCGCCTCTTTCACCCAGACTACCCATGCTCTATTCACTAAATATGATGTAAAGAGGGAAACCGCAATATCGGTAAAACTATAGTATTTAAGTTTGACGCTTTACTGAGATCACAAAGGGTAGCTGCGGTCTATTTTAAGGACTCAAATGTATTCTATTCATGAATGCTAGCATAGCTAAGACTGTGTTCTTATTTTTTCAAAATCCAAATTGGGAGCTTGCAAGTCAACCGTTTCTTCCAAAAAAGACACCATACTTAAGACAATGTATCTCTCAACTATTTTAGCAATTATTGGAAGATAACTTGATTAAGCTTATCAAGCTTTACAAATTCCGGTAACAGCGCCGAATAAGGAAAAAGTAACCTTACTGAATAAGCCCTCGACCTTATGAGCCAATTTGATTTCAGGTTTCCTTCCGAAAGACCCCTCGTGGCTGAAACCAGCGTTTGCCTGCCTGGGCATATTCGGCATCACCCTCAGTTTCGTCACCATCTACACCTACTCAATAGAACTGTTTCCCACTTTCATTCGCAATGCCGGAATGGGCGTAACGTCGATGTTCGCCAGAGTGGGGTCAATGTTGGCCCCCTTCGCAGCAACTTGGGGAGGAGGGGCCGACAATTGGTTGCCTCCAACTATATTTTCTGTGGCCTGTACTGTGGCTTCTTTGGTGTGCTTAAAGCTACCGGAAACTCTTGGGAAGGATCTGCCTGAGACTGTGGAGGATACCGAAAGGCTCGAGATGAAGAAGATAAAGAAATGATATTCTAGATTGTATTTGCTTATGTTATGTGCTTTAGCCTCTATGTGGGTATGAATTACGATTTATAAGAGTAATAAGATATTTTTGGAACAAGCAACAAGTAACGTTATAGCGGTTAGATACTGCTATATGGTTAGAAAAGATTATGACTTTGTAAGCTTGTAAATTTTATAATTCAATATTTTTATTGAAATATATAATGACCTTGAACTTTTATTGTCTTGAATGTGTTTCGATACTGGCATGTCACTATTTTCCGTCGGTCTGTCTGCTAATCTTTGACCTCTCTATAACTTGGGAAGCACTGCGCGGATTATGATGAAATTTTGACACAAAGTTGCTTCTTTTATTCGTCATTGTCTGTCAGAGCGGTGTCTGGGAAATTTGCTCTTGATTGAAGTAATGTAGCTCAGTAGGTCTGTGAGGTCTGGTTGCCCAGATACCAGACAACGTCAGAGAGAAAGAAGGGAAGATGAAAGGAAGTAAGGGGAAGAGCAAAGAGGAGGAAGTGCGTCTGTTTGTATGTGTGTAAAAACTGTAATCTTGGTTGTGCCTAAAATTGCACGATTTAGTTCTGTTCACAGTGCGAACCGTGACCTTGTGTGCTTGCGAACTGGCTCGACTGTGTAGTCTACTGACTCACGCGATTCTGCTTGACTAAAACTTAGCTGCGGCTGTTGTTTGGTGTAGTCCTTTAGGTAAGGAATGCCGAGCTCTCTGTGAAGTATCTCGTTGGGGACCCACCATGGGGCGTTAGTGACTGCTGTTCTGCAGAACCTGCAGACTATGAATATGCGTTTTGGCGATGAAACACTATGCTGCACGTAAGTGATTGCTGGAATAATAACCGTCTTGTATAGCGGAACTTTGTTGATCAAACTTAATTTTGAGGTTCTGCATAGAATAGGGTGGAGTTGCCGAAACGTAATTTGGAATTTGGTTTTAACGCTTCAGTGTGCTTCTGCCAAGTCATCTCCTTGTCAAGAGTAACATCAGGATATTTGAAAGAATCTTCCCATGGTACGGACTCCATATACTGAAACCTCAGACGGTGCGCCGCATAGTTTTTCGCAGAGATGTGTTTTCGAGTGATTCATTTTCATCACCAATCACCAGAATATACAATAGACTTCACAATCGCTGGGAAAAAGACGTCATAAGTGAAAAGTGAATACAAGATTGGTCCGAGAACCGAACCCTAAGGAGCATCGGCTCTGATGGGCTTTATTAACTTTGATCCGAAATTTGCTACCTTTAAAAAAGGATTTAAAAAGTTTGAAGAGCCAAGACTCAAGGTTAATTACTATATTAGAAACGAAAACGGTTTTAGTTAGAAGTTTTTGAAAATCGAGCCAGTGGTCGAGGAGAAAGGAAAAAATAAATATATAAAAATCGCTCAGCGGTTTTTTATTGTCTTAGAGGCTGCTGCCCTTTTTACAAATCATTTATGTGCACGTAAATGCTGTTTTGTGCCCGTTTACACCGTGTGATAAGCGTGGCCAGGCCTACGGGGTATGCATACAAGCACTTGGCTGCCTAGAGTGTAAACTTGGCCAGTGAAGCTGTTTTAATAAATTTGTAACCTGTGGCTCGTAGGCCCTAAGAGGAACAACCTATTTCGCTTATGGTTAACTTTATTCTGTTTAATCTTTGTTGTTAGGTTTTGCATGGTAGTCATTCCTTTGCTTACGGTAACATTTCCGTTAACCTACGAGGGTTGTCCCTAAGATATGATTTCGAACGCTGTGGGTGCTTGATATAATAAATGTTACAATCATTCTATTGCCAACTATTTATGAGAAGATAATTATGGAAATGTAGTAAGATGCACCCCACGTTTTTACTCTAAATTGGATTATTCTGGTAATTTATTATAATTTTATTTTGAGGTCATTAATTATGATTTATTGTTCGACCATCTATTACTGTAATATAAACTCTTAGAAATTAAAAATTATTTTTTACTTTTTAGTTCAGTTAGCTATAAAGGCGTGTTTTTTAGTTCATTTAAATTATTATTTATTTTTCATTTTTTAGTTTTTTGTGGTCATGATATGGCATTGTCATCGGTCTTTGATACGTGTGCGAACTTTCATATTAATCAAACTTCTGGAAATTGATGACAATTATGCTCAAAGATTCCGTTACATAAGTACATACATCTACATACATACAGGCCAAGCTAAAATAAAGGCGGGTTAAGAATCGCAAAAATTGGAAGCAACTGAGGTCATCCTACTTAGTCTAAGTTTTTTCCTGATAGATCCACGGATATCTCGGATCTTTGATAGCAACTTTGCGGTGTGGATAGAAAATAAAAGAGTATCTAGCCTAATATAAAATCGATACAGTCTGCTTGGAGAGGAAATTTTCGTTGGCGCTGGAGAAATCAATGAAGCAGATTCCAAGAGGAGCTGCCGCCGATTCACCCCAGAACGGATACCGAATTGAGACGACACTTTCAATTCCTCAACCGAAAATGAACCTGCGTCAAGGGCCTTATCACGAGGCGATAGTAGACTACACACGGCTTTGAAGGATGGAACGTTTCTTGCTAGGGGATAATAATAATCATAATAATAATTATGATAGATTTATTATCGAACGGCTTACTATTTAAAGGATAACATATTGATTAAATTATATGCCCTTGTGTACCATAGTGCATTAATAAAACTATATAATATAAAAACTGAAGGAATAATTAAAAAACAGGTTATAATAATACCATAAACATAGATGCAGATAATTACCCCAAAAACAAAAATTCAAAACTAGTTCCATAACCTCTTTGCTATTCCGATAAACTCGTTTAGTTGGCAGAAAAATATAACACAATGGCTGACAATACAGTTTAGTCTATGACACATTACATAAAGACTTAAATAAGTCTTAGCTCTAGGTAGCCTAAATGTCGCATTACGCCGTGATGAATATGGGGGCAATTGTACGCTCTTAATGCTTCAGATGTAGCATTCTCATTATATTTAGCAAAAGATAATACAATAAATAACACCTGCATCCCTAACCTCTGTACCTACACCAAATCAGGTTATTTCCACCAATATTACATATAAAATCTATAAATTCTTTCTTCCTTGTGAAACTCACTACCTTACCCTTAACTACGTTTAGTGTTAATTCATTATCTTTACACAGTACTAAATCAGGTCGAGCTGGTCCTGAAGTTCCAAGCAATCAGTGACGTCAAATATTATGCGATATATGTTTGAATCATCAGGGAAGCCAAAATTTTGTACTAATAGAGGATCCAATAAATCATTTATAAAAATTAGAAAAAGCTACGGTCCCAAGTTTGATCCCTGAGGAACTCTAGATATAGCTGCTTAGACCTCTGACTGACCCAATCATACGAGACAAATTGTTTTCTATCTGTTAAGAATGATGTAATCTTCACAGCCTCATCAGAAAATCCAAAATCTACTAATTTGTCAACCAAAACTCTATGATCAATTTTATCAAAAGCTGTAGTGAAATCCATACATCAACCGACAATTTTGTTTCGCTATTTGGTGACTTTTTGATGGAAACCGCAATGCTCTAAGGGCTACGGTTACCAAGATATGATCGTTTTCCGTTTTTTGCTGAATTACCTACAATTGCGCATAAATATCGTTATAACTTTTTTGTTTCTAGAGATAAAGACACAAAATAAACGGCAATAAACCACACAAGTATTGTTAGTTAGAATAGGTTTCAAAAAAGGTATAGTTTTTTATTTTCGAATTTGAAATTATTTATACACTCCACGTGATTGTACGACTTTTGAAGTTATAAGTCGTTTTCGTGACAAGATTTGCACAAACTGTTTATTTGATCTGATGCAGTATACATTACAGAACATATTCACGTATATTTTGTGTCATTATCTCTAGAAACAAAAAAGTTATAACGACATTTATGTGCAATTATAGGTAATTCAGAAAAAAAGCCTCATCAAATAGCGTCCCCAGTCGCAAAAAAAGATTCTTGGTTCATTTACCAAACACCCTGTATATTACGTCTACCTGGCTGCTGAGAAAGGTTTGCCTTAATGAAAAAACGCAATCCCACACATGCGCATGCCAAAAAGTGGGCTTAACAAATGGTTGCACCAATGGGAGTATCCATCTCAAAACGGAAGGGGGGAGCTCAAGGCATATGTACTCTACTTCCTAAAATGATTAACTTTCTATCAGGATGCCATGAATGAATGAATCGTGAAATTAGAGGCATTCCGGCCACCATAAGGAGCCAGTGCGTAGGCCGCTTAAACGGGCCGTTATGCACCTCTACATTCCTTTTAGCGAAGCTGAGAATCGCCTTGAGTCCAAGCTCCTTGACGTCCTGAGGGTCCAAAGTAATGGACGCCAGTATAGTCTGCCTGTTGTAGCTCAGAGCTTCACAGCATCACAAAACGTGCGCCGAGGTCTCTTTCTCTACCCCACTGCGCTTACACGAGGGATCCTCAGCCACCCTCATCACGTGCAGGTGGCACCTTAACGTGTTATGGCCAGACAACAGTCCCACCAGCAACCTTAGGTTGGGTCTATCCAGAGATAAGCAGAAACGTCCATCCTTAGCACTGGGCCCTTCAATGAGTTCCCGTGCCTGGCGGGGATGCCTGGAGATACTTCTCCATTTCTGAGAGTGTTGTTTTGCAATCCACGTCTCTATTTTCCTCCTAGCTCTATGCGCGGTCACTCCTAAAGATGGCTCAGGACCAACGAGCTTGTTGCTGATCCTGCCTTCGCCAGAGCGTCCGCCGTCTCATTCTCCCTTATCTCAGCGTGGCCCGGTACCCACATTAGCGATACCGGATGCCTCGCTGCGAGCCAATCCAGAGCCTCCCTACATTGTAATACAAGACTCGAAGTAAACTTACAGGCACTTAGTGCCTTCATTGCAGCCTGGCTGTCGGATAAGATTGTTTCTTCTACTAGGCCCACCCTCATCCAGATGGCGAGGTACACAAGCCAGAATCGCAAAGATTTCCGCCTGGAAAATAGTGGTGCATCCACCGAGATAACCTAATTCTAGGCCCAGAGACCCCAGCACCTGAACTCTCTTCGGTGACCGAGCCGTCCGTGTACCAGACCTGCCCGCCCATTCCGGTGAGTCTCCGGCTACCGGCGTCCCACTCCTCCCTCATCGGATAGTCTACAATAAACTTGCGTTTGAAGCGATATTTGGGGGTAATTCGATCACCCCTGCTTAGAAGGACGGGGTCCTCCCTTTGCAATTCGACTAAGATGGCAGTATGGCCCTTGACAGGATTCAAGAAGGCCCAGCTGCCCTGACTCCACAGTCAATGAGCGACTATTCTTCCTTCACCGCGGATCACGAGATCCAACAGTGGGATATCCAACAGAGCTTCCAATGCACTCAATGACGTTGTTCGCACTGCGTTTTTAATGCTAATACAGGCCAAACGCTAAATTTTCTTGAGTTTCGGCTTAGTTGTCTCACTTCTAATGCAAGGCCACCAAGGAGCCGTACAAGAGAGATGGACGTACTATCGTCGTGTAGAGCCAGAGCCAGTATACCACTTTGGGTTTAAGCCCCCACCTTACACAGACAACACGTCTACAGGCCCACATTGAATTGCGAGCCTTGCTAACCTTGTATTCAACATGCTCTCTCCAGTTCATTTTCCAATCCAGGTGGATTCCCAGATATTTCACTGATTGAGATAGAATTAATCTAATCCCAAAGAAGGTCGGCATGGCCAGCCCGTCAAGCCTTCTTCTCCTAGTGAATAGGGTCAGCTCGGTCTTTCCAGCATTAACAGAAAGATTCCACAGAGCGCAGAGACTGTTCTACAAAAATGTCCCCGGACTACTACGCTTAAGTCATCAGCATAGACTTGCACGTGGACACCCACACTTCTGAGCCTAACGAGGAGCTCGTTCACCACGATGCACCACAGTAGGGGTGACAGAACTCCGCCCTGAGGGCAGCCTCTAGCTACGCTGACGCTGCAGCTTACGGCATTCAGCATAGCTGTTGCTACCCGACCCTCCAGAGTAGATAGGACCCAATCTATTAGAACTGATCCAACCCCGTGCCTAACCAAGGCATGTCTGATAGAGTCAGTTGTAGTGCAATTAAATGCACCTTCAATGTCAAAAAAAGCCACGAGTGCCACTTCTCGCTGATCTAGACTCTTCTCCAGCCTACCGACCAGATTGGGTAAGGCCAGATCAGTCGATTTCCCAGCCTGGTATGCAAACTGATTTGCATGAATGACACACCTTTTCTACGGGCCATCCCTTAAGTATCTATCAACTATCCTTTCCAATGTCTGAAGCATACAAGATGAAAGAGTAATCGGACTAAAATCCTTCGGGCCAGTATATCTAGCTCTGCCTGTTTTAGGAATGCATAACAACTTTTGCCTGCCGCCAGCTTCTAGGTGTGAAGCCCGTGGCCACACATGCTGTAACGTGGCCGGAAATACGCCGTCCAGTCCTGGATTTTTGTATGGAGCAAAGGAATCTATCGCCCATACCGTCCTTTCGACGGTGACAATCTTCCTAGCCGTGTGCCAGTCCTCCCCTGAGGGCCTGCGCAACGGTATGCACTCTATGATTGATTGCGTTACTGTGAAACCGGGGAAGTGCGTATCTATCAGAAGCCTCAGAGTACCTTCCTCAGAAGTAGTATTCTCTCCCGAGGGATCATACAGAGATCCCAATTTTGCTTTAATGTCTTTGCATAGGACCATGTGTATTCTAGCAGTAGCAGGAATGTCATTTATGGACTGAAAGAAGTTCTCATGGATTCTCTGGAGGCGCTTCTAATCTCCTATTTGTATTCCTGCAACGCCGTCTTGTAGTCTTCCCATAGAGGAGAACTTCTCCTGTGCTTAACTCTGCTAAGAAGTTTGCGCACCGCTCGTTTTCTGTCCTCTAATTCGTTGCACCAGAAGGTTGCCTTGCCCTTACCTTGAAC